GCGTCACGGAGATCATTAAAAATTGGCATAATAACTTGGCTAGCATCACTTAAAAAATAAGACGCAAAATAATAAAATACATTAATAAAAAAGTTATACCTATGTATCTTCCTGCTTCGTGTGGAACTTAGAGTACTACAAAAATGGGTACCTAACACCTAAGTACTACCTAAGAAGTCATTTTGGATTGCTCGTTTCAGCACGCGCGGAGGTCCTAGGAGCAGAGGTGGCAGGCTTGATAGAGCCTACAACCCTCGCAGTAGAGCCAAGCTCCGAAGCTGTCTTGTCTGATAGGGTCTTTTTCTGGAACCTTCCCTCTGCCTCAGAGTCAATTTGCTGAACCGGTAGGCGACCTAAAAAAAATCAGTCCCTTTCAGGTGTCCGTATAGGGTTGAAAGGACGGAGGACCCTTGGGTTACTCTGTCGAGGACTGTCCAGTCTTCTGTGTTTAGTCCAATATTTTGGCCTTTAATAAGGCCAACGATCTCATTTGTAGGGCTCTCAGCACTGTTGGGGAAGTGGCCCACAAGGATTTGTGGGCGAGGAATTTTGGGTTTCTCGATCGCCCTCAGTGCTGCGCCTTTCCATCGGTTTAGGGCTTCAATTTTTTCGAAGACCCACTTTGTGGTTTCATCCTCGCAAGTGAGCATCATGAAGTCTGGTTTGCACGTGGAGGATAGGAACTTTTGACAACCCATCCTCTTCGTCCAGGATCTTTTCCAGGATAGCAGCTTGTATAGCTTCAAGCCTTTGAGTGCTAAGCTGCACATCCAAAAAAAAATTATGTAAAATGCCCACCTTGATTCCTTGAACCGCTTGTTTGTATGAAACTGCGACTTTATAGGTCTTAGGGTTTGGGGCCGCTACGGGTTCTCCTGTGGCATTTTTCGATTTTTTTGGCTGTTGCCCCTGAAGTTGGGTCATCGGATCGGATCCTCTTTTTGGCTCCTATTTCCAGCCGCTCCTTTTTTTCAATTGGCTTCTTTGTCAATTGACGTGCTCTTTCGGCGTTGTGGCCCTGTTTTTTTGGCCACCTGAACCGTCTCCTCACAGCTCCAATGAGGCCCTTCTCCTTCAGCTTCAAGTCGTTGACCGACTTTGAAAGCTTGTTGGAGACGAAGTCCTCACTTTCGTCCGACGAACGTTCATCATCCACAGACCTGGTGATCCCCTTACCATGTCTGCTTCAGACGTGTCGTTGAAAACATTGCTGTCTCCAGGAGTTTAGAGGACATTACTGTCTTCTGGTGGTTGGAGGATATTGCTATCCTCTGGGTTTTTATTTTCTGCTTCCATCTGCTGATCCAGTGAATAATAAGGGAGTTAGAGTTCGCCTGCAGCAGAGCCCTGTACTTCAGGGGGCGTAATTAATCCTGGAGATTGGCTGATCTCCAGAGTTCGCAAGCTAGTGGCCAAGCTACCCCTTGGTCATGCACTCGTCAGCGCTCGCTGTTCCAACTTGAACTGGGAAGATTATTTATTGTAGCTCTCGTACCACATAGTCCGGGCGGTTAAGCCAAGACTTTCCGTATGGATTTCTGCGAGACATGACCAGAAACAACATCCATGCATGGTATATCAGTTTGAGGATGCCGGCATCGTTTTGCCCCAGTGCAGGCCCTTAACCATGACACGACAGTTGGGCTGGGCTTGAGTCATCCTTAGCTTCATCCGCCGTCCACGATCCATTGAGAGGGATCAAGATTAGTAGATTACTGAGTCCCCTTACCAGCGACAAGGTCCCATGACTACACAAGAGGGTACGGTATAGGTACGGTACGGTATACTATACTATAGGTATTATACTATCTTACAACTAATGTTTTATTCACTTTATCCAATGCTTACATCTCCTTTCCAATTAAAAACTATTCAAGAGCAAGAAACTAGAAACATACTCTTTGTTTTGTTTAAATTTTTGTTTCAAAACAAATATTTTTCAGGGTATTGAGCTAGAAAAATCTTCAAATTTTAGAGGTGAAAAACTGGAAACTGCTTATGCAATTTATTTCAATACCCAACAATCCAATTGAATAGGTTGTGATGAAAGTTCTGGACCGAAATTTAGTAGGTAGAATCTTATAATACCTATATAAAACCGTTTCTATTTTTTTCCCATACGAAAGCATTTCTCTTACGTTACATGCTAATCAATCTGAGTGTTCAACTGTAATCCAATAAATCCTCCAAAATATTTTCTTTCTTTGCCTCGCTTTCCCCGCCTCATAGCTCAGTTATAGGAATATTTAAATTAGTATTGACACAAAAAAAAATATATTCAAAGTTAACCATGACCTTAACTTTGGGTGATAATTATTTGACCTCCTTCGCTGTATGGCCCACTTCCGTCCAAATTCTTCGATAAATGGTACTTGCTACATTCTGTAGGTGCGGTCATTTATATTTTTGTTGAGAAAAGAGATATGTATGTGAAAAATCAATACCTACATATTCCCAATAGATGTGTCTCGTAGTTCCTTTGTGAAACCTGAAAAAGATTTTTTATTTGAATAGAACTATAATATATTAAAAATTATTTATAATTTGAATGGTTGAGTCAATTATTGAAGAAAATTTTAATTGAAATCAACGGTTGCGAGAAGTAAAGTTAATCAAAATCAACACCTAAAATTGTATTATGTAAGTAATAATAATTTAAAAATGTTTGCCGATAAAACTTTTGTCAGTTGCTTCCAATAAACTAGATAGGTACTTGTTTAGACTAAATTAGTTCTAATAGGGCTGGTAGGTACTTGTATTGTGATTTAAGATTTTTTTTTAGAGTGATCAGAACTTTATCAATAATAAAGAGAGTATGATAATTATGGTAATTACCATATTCCAACATTTTCAACCATCGATAATTATGTTAATCAGCCTTAACCGACAGCAAAAGTATCATTTAAACTACCAACATTTCATGATATGATTTAACATTTGTTTGATTTATTACAAGAAAACTCTTCCTAGCAACTATGTTCCCATCTCACTCATATCCCTTCTTTCGAAAGTAATAACCTCGAAGCCAATAAGCTCATATCTGACAAACAGTACAGGTTTCGCTCTGAAAGATCAACAGGGTATCCGCTGGTGTACGTCAGTCATATTTGGAACCCGAAAAACATGTAAGATCCAAAATTATAGCATTGGACATCTCTAAGGCTTTTGATCAGATGTGGCACAAAGGTCTCCTCAGGAAACTTCCATCGATGGTCTGCCCAACGAATTTTGCCATTCCGGGGAACTTTTTGGAAGGCAGGTCACTGCATGTTATGGTCGATGGTGTGTCTTCTGATACACTGCCCATCAATACCGGCGTTCTCCAAGACTCTATTCTATCCCCAACACTGTTTTTCATTTTTATAAATGATTTGTTAAATATGACAAGGAACCCCATATAGGTACAGCTTTCCGGACGATAGTAGCTTGATGGCATCTTTCTCTTCTGAAAACTCGCTTATTGCAGCTGCAGCCACTTCCACGAGAACAGATTCACACTATATCAACAGTGATCTTGGTCCCATTACCAAATAGGGCCTCAACAATCTAGTCAAATTCAATGTTTCCAAAACTCGAATAAGAAATCTTCCGCCGATGATAATGCAGCTTTCGGATGTCGGGACAAAATCTTTCTATCAATCCCTCAGTATCTCTTCTTGGGGTGATTTCCAAAACCGCTTCTCATAAATTGGGTTTTCTGTTTCGTGCGAAAAACTTCTTTACTTCTGAATAACTTCTTCTCCTTTATAAGGCTAAAATCAGATCATGTATGGAATAGGATACTGTTCCCACATCTGGACCGATGCTCCCAAGCATTCGTTGGCTCTATTAAATGCAGTACAAAGAAGAGCAATAAAAATGATCGATACTTGAACTCTTACCGATTTATTGCAACTTCTCGAACATAGATGCAAGGTGGCCGACGGTCGACTTGTCGTTATTCCATCGCTTTTACCATGGTAGATGTTCTGACGATCTGTCCAGCCTCATTCCAGCTAGGAGAAGTTACTCAAGAACCACAAGAACCTCGCAGGCATTCCATCCATATGTGGAAAGGCTGTTATTTTTGGATGAATTTGTTTTTTCAAAATCAAATTAGTGAAGCGTGTAAAAGATGTGAATAGAATAGTGGAAAAACTTTCCTGCTCACCATGAATGAGGTCCTTGATATGCTGTGGTGTAAGGCGATCGAGACCTCCCGAAGAGCCAGGTCTAAAGGAGCTTATTGCGTATTTAATTTCTTCGCAACTGACATTTTCTGGCATGATCTTTGCGGTTCGTCTGACAATTTTCTGTCATCGTCGTCTTGAGGGTGCATTTCTTGGAGTTTCACGGAGAAATATGTTTGGAAGATAGTATTCTAACTGCGCCGCTAATGTTCCTTTGAGATATTTTATTCTGAATCTTTTTTTCCAAGTTCCAATAGTTGATGTTATTTTTTAAACTTTTTGGACTGTTCTTAGATGTTTTTCCATCAAAAGACTGCAGTAGTTCTGATAGAGGAAGCAACCTATTTTTGGTCCAAATGTTGAGGTTTTCTTTGACTTTAGAAGTGAGTGATTTTGAAAATTTGAATTTATCTGGAAGTTTTAAACCTGATTATGGGAGAAGAAAAACCGACATCCATGCTTGAGGAGAGTTTCTTTCACGCAATTATTAAGGAGGCAGGAGAGTTCTTCAGAAACGCATTTTTGGGCAGCTTTTGAAATTCTGTGTAGAATAAGTATACTTTCCTTCAATCTTTAGATATTGGTTTTAACGAAAAATTCTGAATCAATGTCATAATTTGGAACTTGTGAAGTTTCAACTTGAAAACTATGTCTTATGAACTTATTTCAATTTAATGTGGAATCATATGCAGCCAATTATGTTGTAATGACATTATTTAGGTAAGAACACTTACTTTAAATTCTATTCAATTCTAATGAGATCGGCACCGGTAATATTGCCATTAAGAATTTCTGGCCTAATTAATTCTTTTGTCTTTTTAATATATGAGGTAAACGATGACTTTAGGATTTTATTTTCGAAATTTCAAGTTACCCGAGTCACCATTTTGCTACAAACATTTTTATTTTTGTTCCGAACGGAGTGAATAGATTAACAACATGGCGTTACTACTAAAACGTGGATACGAAACGTACTTTTATTGTATTCAAGAATTAGCTGGTAAGTTTTTAAACGCAGAACTCGAATAAACTTTGTAGCAATTTTGATCTAAGTATATATCTAATAATTAGTTTCAATCATTTTTTTCAGATCCAAGAGCAGAGGAATACTTCATGCTAAGGTCTCCTATCCCAACCTTAATTATCCTTTTTTTCTGGTTTAAATTTGTATTCAAATGGGGACCAGATTATATGAAAGACAGAAAACCTATGGAACTAAAGAAAGTAATGATGGTATATAATGTTATACAAGTGTTTATAAACGGAATGATCGTATATTATGTGAGTGCTGGCTTTTAAGTTACTTACTCTTTCTTAATGTTGTGAATTTTTTTATACTTTTAGACTTTTCGTTCTAAGCACTTGGTGAACTTCAAGTGCATGCCTATTGATTATTCTGATAGTTATTGGGGTCAGAAATTTTTATATCTATCTCACATGTACTACCTGCTTAAAATAGCTGATCTTCTTGACACGGTAAGACTTGGTTTCTATAAATAAAATTGAAGTAAGTGCTACCGCTTAGCGAATCAGCACCTTCTTTGAAGTACTTATTTAGAGAACCCGTACACCCTTGAAACATTACTTCATAACTTCAAGTGTTAAAGTTGCTAAGGAATAAGTATGTTTCATAAAAAATTTTGTTGAAATCGAATAAATAATATGTATTGGAATATCCACATGCTTAGCTCAACGGTTTTAACACAAAGTTTCAACTATCAATTGGTTTAGCAGCTCATAATAATAACACTTTTGACTCACATCATCACCTTACTCTTTGAAACAAAAAAACATTACCAGAAGGTGAAATAGTTTGGAGAAAGCTTTTACCTAAATATAACTGCGATAGGGCATTCAAAGATTTCTATATTGAAAAGTAAAGGCTTTCAAGGCCAATAATTTAAGAGCAGATATAGCTTTGTGGGCTTCTGTGCCTCAGTCTGTAGGTATTACATCCTGGGGCCGTATTCTCGTCACCGAGGAACAGCTTTCTCTCAAGAGAACAATTGCTCTGTCTTGGTCACCCATATTGTTATTTCCACAATACTGACAAAAACAGAGCAATCGCTCTCTTAAAAGACCGTTGTTTCCCGGTTACGAGAATACGGGCCCTGGTCCCTGGAGTGAGACAAGCTGAGCCATGGGACCAAGAACTTCTCCCTTTAGACCTCAGATCGTTCTGCAGCTAGACACAGGCTTCTACAAACCACAGTCTACAAGCTCGCAAAACATCAACAAGAAAAGTTTTTTCACCTGTGAAACAATGAAGTCAGAATTCTGTAGTATGCAATTGGCAATTTCAAAAAAAAAAAATTGTTTCAAAGAGTATCAAACATATTACCTATTTATGTTTTGGAGAACACAAGTACCTATTTATCAGATGTAATATTATTTTAGGTTTTCTTCATTTTAAGAAAAAAATCTGGCCATGTTAGTTTTTTGCACACATACCATCACTTTATGATGGTATTAGCTGGTTGGGTTGGTGCTAAGTTCTTACCTGGTGGCCATTCCTACTTTTTAGGTTTAGCAAACTGCACAGTACATACAATCTTGTACAGCTATTACCTTTTAACCGCCTATGACAGCAAATATAGTAAACTTTTATGGTTGAAGAAATTCATCACGCAAGCTCAACTGGTAAGGATGAATTTATGTATTTATTTTAATATTCGAAAAACCATTGATTGTAAACTCAATTTTTTGCAGATAGATATGTTACAGAGAACTGCAAAAATGCGTGAAACTAACTTTTTTACATCTTATGCAAATACACTAGCGATCCGTGATAAATAAACTAGGTTCATTATAATTTTTGTTAGCTAAGAGAGCTTTTTGATAACTTCCGCTGGCATTTTGAACAAAAATTAATAAAAATAACTAGCCCCTAAATGACTTACGTATAGTAAGACTTTTCATGACAGGAAAGTTACTAGAGGATAATAATTACTGACTGAATACCTTATTCAAAAAAATCATTACCTACCTAATTATATACCTATAGGGTTTCTGATATAAGTTAGATATCATTCTAGTGGGTAGGTGTTGAGTGGTTCTAAGGAAAAAGACTGACATTGCTTTGACTGTTCGCTTTCCGGTTTATTTTAAACCATCTTCAGGGTACTGCAAATAGAATATGAAACTTATAATGAGGAGATAATACAAAAGGATCATCATCATCATCATAGGCGATCACTCAATACCGAGTATGATTATCTTCTATTCTTATTATCGTCGATCGTTTGTTTTTTGACAGCTATATAAACCAATTCTGGATCCGGACACTCTTCCACAGTTTTGGCACACCCAGCTCCTGGCAGCATTGTCTCTTCTGTTCTCTCGCTCCTTCCTACGGTCCCTCTTTTCGGCTGGTGTCTGATTTTGTTTTGACAGTAGAGAATCTGTTTTTTTATTGGAAGATGTGTTTCGGGCATGCAGACGGGGTAACCTGTCTAGCGAAGTTGGTGCTTAATGATGAGGGCTTCCATGCTAGTTGTTTTGGCCCCCTCTGAAACACTAATGTTCGTTCGTTGGTCTTGCCATTTAATCCGTAGGCATCGCGCTGGTGGTATTTTTCTAGGCTTTTTATGTGTTCTCGTTAGGTAGTCCATGTTTCGCAGCCATATGACGTAAGTGTTAAAATTTCAACTGCATTTTAGACGCGATGTTTGGTCTCAGCGCTTATGTCGTGTTTGTTGAAGACTCTCTCTAAAAGACGCCCGAATGCCACGCTAGCATACTTCAAGCGATGTTTGATTTCAGCGTCAATGGTTGCATCCGCTGATAGATGTAGTAGTGTTCTACGTTTCCCACAGAATGGTCAAGAATAGTTGGGACTTGGGGTTAGTTCCCGGTGCGGGCTGGTGCAGAATCTGCATCTGGTTGAAGTTGACCTCTAGGCCGATTCTCCTGCAATGCATCGATAATTGCTTGACGATATTCCTCTGTATTAGCCATCAGGACGTTATCATCCGCATATTGAAGAATAAGCCGCCATCAAGTCTGTTCAGGATTTTCACTCCTGACGCTAGGTGACCCTCGACAAGGTGAAGTATGGATTCTATAAATAGGGGGAAAATAAAGTGGGTGTAATAACACAGCCCTTGTTTAACGCCTGTAGTTATTTGGAAAGGCTCTCCTTGTCCGTCGTTGCTTAGGACGATTGCATTCATATTATCATGTAGCAGGCGGAGTATCTGGATGTACTTTTGGGGACACCCAACCTTTGCCAATATCCTCCAAAGTCCCAAGAGCTTCTCTGTCTACCGAATCAAATGCTTTCACTAAATCTATGAAGGCCATATATCAAGGGCGATTTTCTTCCCTGGATTTATCTTGCATTTGTCTTGCATTGAAAATCATGTCAGCTGTACAGGGTTTTCCCGTATATTTTCACCCCCACCTCCAGCCTTTACCTTTACAGGTAGATGATAGGTGTAAATACAAAAGTTGTTTAGTTTTAGCTAAAATCCTTCGTCGGAAACAAAAAATTATTTTCAGAAATTTGAAATTTTGCGTTTTGTCAACTTTTTCCAAATGAAATGCCTCATACCCACATAACAAAATTTCATCCATAGAATGTACTGGGAATGTTCTTTTTTCAGGAGGAATGTGCCTAGAATGTTCGCCAAAACCATTGCGAATGTCCTGAGAATGTTCTGACAAAAGATTGTAGAAATACTGTTTGCAATACCCAAGAACTTCCTGGGAAATTCATTAAGATATTCCTAGAATATACCTATGAGATTCTCAGTACATCCTGAAAAGAATAATCCTGTTTGATTCTAAAAATATTCTTGAAATGTATATTCTCACATTCAAAGAATGTTTCTATGACATTATAGTTATGTTCTCAAAAGAATATTATACCAATGTGCTTAAAATATTCTTAGAATATGTCTACATATTATTATATATCATTCTCAATACGGATCCTAGACATAACATTCTTGTTTGATTCTAAGAATATACTTGGAATGTTAATTTTCGCATCCAAATAATACCCCTTTCAGACCTTTTATATGAAAGGCAGTGAAAGAGTTTTTGGGAAACTTCTCTGGAAAACACAAGTGTTTAACCAAAGCTCCGGTTTCGAGCTTGTTATGCTCTCGTCGTGGTAAGCGCGCCAACTGAGAGAAACAGGTTCCAAGGTGATTCAAACGCTAGGCAAGATGTAGATCTTTAATACCGCGTGGCTCCCTCTCTTGGAAGTCCTACAAAGTAATAGAAAAAGAATGTACCTATAATATTTTTAGTAGGTTCTAGATAGAGCATTATTTTTTAATTGTTCAATTAAGATTTTTGAGCAGGTACTTTAGATAATTAGGTGAACAATATGAAAATATTCTTATCATGGTTACCTACCTAGATAAACTTCTCAGCACAACTTGGTAGGTATATTCTTAATACTTGATAGAGATATTAGCCGAAAGAACATTTTTTAGGGTACATTATAATAATGTTCGTATAACAATATTCAAATAATGTTATATGAGGTAGGTTCTTAGCACAATCTTTCAGGTAGGTGCATTGAAGCAACATTCCTAGTACATAAATAGAACGTCCAAAAATGAATATTTCAATCGAAACAATCTTAGAATATTCATTACACATTCCTAAAAGAACATTCCAAAAAGCACTTTGAGGGAATATTCTGAGAATATGAATGTTCTTTCACTGTTATGTGGGTATTTGAATATTCTGAAAGGGTACAATTTTCCGATTCCAAAAATATATAGTTTGTCCATATTTGGTTGAGCTGTCTCCAACATATTTGGCTCTAAAATTTTGAAAATGCCATCAGAGAAACCCAGTGCCTCTAATTTTACCTGCAGCTGTCACCTTGTCAGGTAGAATGTTTCACAAAATCTAAGGGAGTAAGGCTAGTGTTTTTATAGTTTTGTTGAAAGTACGCAAAATTTAAAATATCTGAAAATAAATTTTTGTTTCTGATGATGGTTTCTAAAAATTTAGCTAAAACTGCACAACTTTTGTATTTACACCTATCATCTACCTGTAAAGGCTGCAGGTGGGGTGCAAAAATATACGGGAAAACCCTGGTACCTTAGTTGGGTCTAAAGTCACACTGTGTCTCTGGGAGGTTCTCTTCGGCAGTTGGGACTAGAATATTTGATAATATCCTGGCAAGTATCTTTCTCGCAGCAGAAAGTAGAGATATATCTCTATAGTTTCCACACTGAGTATTGTACACCAAGTCTTTTTCAAAAAACCAAGCGTTTTCCTACTTCAGAGACAACTCCTCACGGAAGAATGTCGCACCAGTGCATTCCAATTCACACCCCAGTATGGTACAATAACTAGGGAAACAAGCTTAATCTCACTTACCATACGCCTGTCTAAGTTCCATGTTTGTGACGTCACATGAGTTTCCTTATTTGTTTAAACTCCTTGATTGCCCTGTCAATTGCTTCAAATTGGGAAACGTATCCAAGAAAATGTGAAAATCTTAGAAACAAGTCTTGTCGCGAGTTGGATTAATAAGATCGGTTGTATTTGCATAAACTATTCAAGTTTTTTTTTTTTTTTGTAAAATTAAATTTGTTTCAGCTTCAATTTGTATTCCTCCTTTTTGCCTTTGGCAGCCTATTGTTCTCAACTGACTGCTCATATCCGAAAGGAATTAATTTATTCTTTGTACCCCAAAATACTTTCATGATCGTCTTGTTCAGTGACTTTTACATCAGAAATTATTATTTGGAACCCAAGAGAAGAAGGAAACTGGCAGAACAGGCTAGATTTGGAAACGAACAAGCTAAGCTTGAAAATGGTAAGAATGTCGTTAATATTGACACATCGAGTAGGTATTAATTATATTATAAACTGAACACATTGGTAAAAATAGGAGCCTCCCATTTATTTCACAAGGAAAAGTACATCATCACTATTAACTGAAATGTAAAATTATATATTCATTATATGGGAAAAAAATCACTTTTCTTCTACAAAGTAAAACACTGCAATATTGGCACCATTTATTTTTAAAAAACTTTGTATTATATTTTCAGATTCATGATTTAAAAAAAAAACAATTTTTTCAAGAAGCCCCCCCAACACAGACTGAATGGTAACAATTTTTGAAACACAGAACTTTATAGTTGCAAAGTTCTCTTGTATTTTGTAACTAAATATAATTATTTATTTTGAATAAATTTTTATTAATCGTTATTATTATTATTTTTTTTTGTTAATTTTATTTTAGGTAATCGAAAAGTTGATCTCTGGTAATAAATGACTCCCATGATGATAAAATTCGATTTTTTTAATAATAATCTGCAGCTGCACTTAAAACTCTTGTATTTTTATTATTACAAGAGCCAATAACAAAGACAAAAAAATGTTTTCGGGTGATATTTAGAGTAAGCATCTTCTCATTAGCAAGTGTTTATGAATCATTCATATTGATAGACGCAACTTACCCAATACCATAATTGACGGTTTCTTATTCTCCTGAGTGCAATGGATGGTATTCACAGCACATGGAAAGCTTTGTTTCTTACCACTTTTGTTTAGCTTAGTTTATTTTTGCGCAGCATTACAATGCAAGTGTGTCTAGTTATTACTTTCTCCAATTTTTTTGTCTATACATTCTACAATCAAGAATTTGGACTCTAACCACCTCCTCACCTACGCGAGATATACGATTTTTTTTTTTTTACCTACTTGATGTACCTTCTCTTTATTCTCCCAATTCCTTTCCCAAAAATCAACTTTGGAATTGCGGGATTCAGTAACGTCTCTAGGTTGTCTTCCAGCACAGAACTTCACCAGTGAGTACAAGCGTAACTTCACGCCTAAGATGTCTGTTTGATACCAGATCAAAAATTAGACATCCAGGTACGAGTTTTATTACGAGGAAATTTAACCATATTTTTTTCTGGGGGGGGGGATGGGTCACATTTTTCTATTAAATTTTTGATTTATTATAGCACAAAGCTCTGGTAGGGCAATAAAGGGAAAATGACTGATAACCGCAATAATAATGTATTATTGAAATTATGTTTAATGAATGAGAACATGTAGAAGAATTAACATTATGTGCAAAATACATGCATTGCGGTTTTACCAATAACTATTACTGGCGGATGTTTGAGTTTGAACAAATCAAACAACACTCGCCTAACACCTACATGTTAAACAATGAAGAGAAATAAAAAATATGACGTATAATAAATACGCCGCCACTGAAAAGAGAATAAAGATAGATAGATAGATAGATTTCTTTATTCGATCAATATGTTTACAATTACAATTACAAATTGGTAGAGAACATTTTACCCAGAGGGTGTTGATCATGTCATTATTTACAATACACAATAAAAAAAAAATTGTACTTAAATCTTAAAAAACATTTAGTACAAAAAAAAAAAAAAATAAACACATACATCTAAGATAAAAAAAAAACATTTAAGTAAAAAAACAAACAAGTACACCTCACGAACAAATAATTAGAGTCTGGTCATTCCGACCACTTCCAGGGTCAGCACAGGGAGTGCTATGTTTATCTAGGCAATTAGTAAAATTTTATGCTTTGCTAGAAAGAAAACAATCTTTAAAAAAAATCTAACTCAAATCTTTCACTTCTTGATCAGTAAAAAAATCGTTCAGACTGTAATAGGCTTTTGAGCTCAGAAATGTTTTAATTTTGCAGTTGATAACTCTTGATGGTAGCATACGGAGTGAGGGAGGCAAAACATTCCAGACTTTGAGAATGTTGTGTTTAACATTTTTAAGAATGTATGTAAAGTGAGCAGTTTCAGTTCTAAGATTGTCTTTGAATCTAGTAGCATGACAATGATTAGATTTTGGTTGGTTGGGGTTTCCGATTTTCAACCCTGGTTTGACATTCACAATCAGATAAAAATCGCAAAAATTACAGCTTTTTAGAAATAGTGATTTATATTCAGAATCAGCAACCTGGTGAAGTACACTTGAGGCGTAAGAAAAATTGTACGAGGTCTAGCAGTCCGAGGTTCATCCCAAAATTATAAATAATTAAATAACTACTCGAGGATGCAGATTATTTACCTACCAATGATCAATATGTGAGTGTGTAAGTTTCGGAAGGTCACATTTGGTCATTGGTTGAAGATCTTGTTGTTCAGATGTTGGGGATGCATAGACCCGAGCTGTCTTAACTTCCAAAATGCAGCCTACCCCAGCTGAATACATCTGTGAACTTCTTCCGTTTGGCAATCTCATATTCAGAATCAGCAACCTGGTGAAGTACACTTGAGGCGTAAGAAAAATTGTACGAGGTCTAGCAGTCCGAGGTTCATCCCAAAATTATAAATAATTAAATAACTACTCGAGGATGCAGAGTATTTACCTACCAATGATCAATATGTGAGTGTGTAAGTTTCGGAAGGTCACATTTGGTCATTGGTTGAAGATCTTGTTGTTCAGATGTTGGGGATGCATAGACCCGAGCTGTCTTAACTTCCAAAATGCAGCCTACCCCAGCTGAATACATCTGTGAACTTCTTCCGTTTGGCAATCTCCTTAGAATTATAATTTTCTTCCTAAGAAAATGCTATCACCAGGTACTAAAAAATATCTATACCAGTAGGCAGTACTATCCACTACTTTGTTTTTCTATCATATTTAAATTCAGCTAGGACTACGTTGTCTTACAGGGATGGCAACATCTTGTACAACATTAAAAAAAAAATGTGTATTATCTATATATCTACAGTACTGCAAATCTCAAATTCATTCGTTCTTCGTTCAGATTACTTCTGCTGAGTTTTTTTTTTTCGATTTAAAAGCTTGATGGTATCTTCCAGACAATAAGTTGTAAATGTTTGGAAACGGGAGTTCTTATGAGAATGAAACAACTGAATACAACAACACCCTTATTCAAACTGACTCCAACAAAGCTCTTATTCAGACATACTCTAACTGGGTAACTGCGTCCTATTTATAGCCGACATTAAACTCGGTATTTATTCTAGAAAAACCCGACGCCCTTCTCGGATACAACAGAATTACCCAAACAGGCGCGGTAGACATCAACAACTCGATTCCTAGAATCCGTTCGGGTTGTCGATGCAATTTTGCGTAGCACTGCCTTCCTCACAAATCATATATGACTCTGTCAAGTTGCCTCAACTTCTTTTCTACGTCCATACCTCCATTCAAATCCATAATCTCTAACCGCACGTGTATTATAATTGTGGACTTATTGTGTGCTGATGTGTTATTATATACAAGTTTGGAGGACAAATACGGAGGAGCTAAAGAATTTTTCATTTTATGTATGAAAATCATAGTTTGGTAGTCCAAATACTGTTGTACTGACAGCCAATTTAATGAGCTAAGCATATTTCTAATTGATGTTACCCTAGGTACATACAAAATTATTCGCATGGCCATGTTTTGTAAATTCTGCAATATTTCTTTTTCATTTTTATTTGTCGTAAACAAGATGGTAGACACAAATATAAGATGTGGCAAATTCTGGTACATTATATTATACTACTTCACGTGACCACTGGGTCAAAGATGGATTGTATTGTATTGTATACCAAAAAAGTTGGTGTTTCTGGAGATTTTATCACCTATGTATGACACATATTCCCTAAATGTTGATTTTCTGTCAATTGTAACTCCAAGATACTTTATCTTATCAACAACTTCAATATCAGTATTCCCGATCACGATTTTTCACTGTAACTCAAATAGATTATACTGTTGGTTATTCTTATTCAACAAGCATAAATTTAGATTTTGCTGCATTTAATTTAAGTAGATTTACATTGCAACAAACATCGACAACAGTAGTATATTTTGTAGCTCTGTATTGACGGTATCGATTAGGTTTTTTTTTTAAATTATCTGAACGAAAATACAGTAAGGTGAATAGTAAGGTTCATCCAGCAAACAGACACCATTGGTATTTAAAATTTCTAAAGACGTTATTTTGTTAACACGTGTTACTTATTTTCTATTATATAAGTATGTGACTTTCTAAAACTCGACTGGTTGAGGTACAAGATATTATTTTTTGATAGTCAAACAATTGCTCATAAACAATTTTTTCAATGATCCCTTCGACCGTTGCTTAGACGTTGATTGGTCTTAAATCACTTGCTGTTGAAGCGCTTTAACTGTCGAAATTTTTAATGCTGATGTCGGTACACTACCAGTTTCTAGTGATAGTAACTACATTTAAGAGAGGGTTTTCGATACTTATGTGCAGTGTGTTCCTAAATATGATGAACAAACGAAAGAGGGTGATTTTTTATTTTTGTTTTATGAGTGAAATTTCAGATGAACATAGGCAAACGCTTCGTTACGGATCTAAAGGGTGTTGAAATTTCGATATTTTTTTAGTTTTTTCTTTATAGGAGGGATTTAGCTCAAATTTGGAATATAGCTTACGCAATAGGAGCTGAATGATTGCACATGTCAAACGTTTGCCAGAATCTACAGGATGATACTTTTTCAGGGGTTATGTCTCCTTTTCTGCCCCTGAAATTTGTCGCAAAGTAATGTTTCTATACCTTATTTAGAAATTTTTTGTTTTCTTGTAGTTTTTTCAAATCACCGACCCTCATCGAGCAAAAAAATAAAATACAATTCTCTGTAATTAGATGAAACTAATTTCTTTGAAATGTTCTAGTAGGCTATGGCTTTATTTAGATGATATATTGTTTTTGGCAAACGTGTGACATGTGCAATCATTTAGTTCCTATTACATACCTACCTAACCTATAATATTTCAAATTTGAGCTAAATTCCTAAAAAATTGCAGGAGCTATGAAAAAAAAACTACACACCCCAAACAAAACCAAAGAATCACCTCCTTCCGTTTGTACATGATATTTTAGGAACGTGCAATTTTATTATTCCCTAGTTGTTCGAACACTTTATGAACATACCAAGATGCGGAAGAAGGAACATCACTCAGATGGTTTTGAGAGACTTTGTTAAAGGTTTTATCATCCAACGGAAGTGCCTGAAAATTTTCCATCCATTAGGAGCTAATAGAAGCCGAATGTTATGGAAGCTGATTAATAGAGTATTTATTAGCGAAATCTCACTCCTTCATCAGCTTGGAAAACGCCTCAAAACGGTCCAACGTCAATTTATAGAACTTTTCCATGAAAAATTGAACAATGTGTTATTTTTCAAAATTAATATACATTTTCCGAGCCACAGCTCTCCAAAGTGACATTACGGCCAAGAAAAAAATTATATTGTTGGTTTTGCCTCCTGATATTAATTTATGTTTAGTTTGTTACTTTTATTATATTTATTGGCACCTGCGTGGATTGCGTGTATTGCGTGGACCAGCAACACTGACAAGAATAGTTGACAGCAGTTGTCCGAGAAGACAGATCATTTTTAGGGCGTGTCAAATTTGTATTATGTATATTATAAAAAAATTGGGTGGCCTTTAAGGTTAGCATGATGAAAAAAATTATACCTTCAGAAGACAATAATTGTTTGAATAAAAAATAAAAATTTGTATATGTTTGTTTGTTGTTTTAACTGTTGTTATTATATTTGGAAAAGTTACTCAATTATGTTTGAAATTTGTGTACAATTATTTTGCGATAGCATTAATAAATATATTAATAAAAGAAAGTACCTACTTTATTTGGGTAAATTTTTGACCCACAAAGAGATTATATTTTTTAAAAGATTTGGTACCTATTCATAATTTATTTAAAAAAATTTGGATTCAATTCTCAACAGAAGACGCGAGTCTGTGTAAGCGTAAGAAAACGAAACTGACACACATCGAACTCGGTTGTACTTTCTTCCGTACTCGCGGGGGATTGTGGGTCACTGTGTTAATTAAAATGCCGGATGGTCGCTTCTTCGTTGAGATAATAAAAAGTAGTGGAGGTAAGAGTAAACTCTTAAACAATTTTTGTAGAATAATTTGGATTTAAATGAAGCTATCTTGGGAATGTCAGTGCATCTGTGAGCTGTAATTTATTTATAAAGAAATCGCGTTCCTCATGCATCAAATTTTTGGTATGATTATCTTTTATCTCAAATAGAAGTACAAAACTTATTCTTTATGACTGGTTACTTATATCACATCTGAATTACGGCGACGGTATGTACGACCCACTTATTCGCCAAATGTTCGGAAATTCGCAGCTACTACAAAATGCCTACCTACGTGTGATTAATTTGTAGACTCGGAGAGAAGCACCATAACTCAACACCCCTTCATCAACTTAGCTGGCTAAATATGAAAAAAGACTCCTCAATTCTCTATCATAATAAAACTATAAGTGATAAACAGCTTCATAATCCGGTCGAAAAAATTTCATGGGTAAGTAGGTACCTATAACATTTATGGAATTAATACCAGACATAGAAATTTAATTAATATTCCTCGCTTGTAGAACTGTTTTTTAACATGGGTCTTTTCCTAATTCCATCGCAAGAATCTAGAAAAAAAATTCCTCATTCTTATAAATGTTTTAAAAGTATTGCCTCATTTAAGAATGCAATTAATTGAATGCAAAAAAAACTATAAAATTTTCTAAGAAACACAGTCTATAGAATACTTTTTAATAGAAGCTTCGGAACATGATAAAAAGAAGTTGAAAAATAGTAGTGATGTGTGCATCCACGGAGTGTTGAGATACACTCGGCCTTGACGACGTTTTCAAAAATCGCATTTCTCCTCGCTTGATGTCTGCAATCCGACTGAGGATCCTTGCTGCGCAAGTCTGCTTTTATAGAATTGTGCCTGCGCAGATGATGGACCGCGCATTCGCATATAGTCTTGTGGTGTTGCCGATTTGCATCAGGTTCCTTGGATTTGGGATATGAGGTGCCTTGGATGAATCTTGCTGTTCTGTGACAGTCCATGTGGTGTTGTTAGCGTCTTCTATATATGGGCGGCACGTGCGCAGATTCTATCGCGGTATCCCCGGATTGCATCAGCTGCCCTGAATTTAGAACCAACGAATACACACCCGAAATAACCCACCAAACATACCACCATCCGTGAAATTATTCGAACTAACATAGTTATGAATTATGTATACTATACAAAAAATTTAAAAAAAAAGGCATTCAGTAGTTCTCTGGATCTAGATCGAGCTCTATATGTACTAGTTCCTTCTGCATGTATAAGTTTGCTATTGTACCTATTTTATAGGCTCTCTAAAAAATAGCAACTTGGCAGGAAAGCCATCCTCACTTACAGAGATTAGAAATTAGCAAAACAATAATTAAATTTTAACAACAAGCAATTTAAATTTTATAGTCACATCTTAATAGTTTTTTAATATCTGAAACATGCGGAACCGAAACAATTTTCCAATAACTAACACACGCAAGTAGGACAGTCAATAATTTCAAAACCAATTTTTTTTTTAATGTAGACCCGAAAAATCAAAATGCCCAGTTCACCTGTAATACCAGACTAGTCAATCGACTTAAACAATGGTACGGGCGCGCTAGAAAGAGAAACCGAGGTGGGTACGTCAAGTACCATTCTTATAACTCCTGGTGTCTTTGCAGGAAAGTAGGTATTACTGAAGCAGTACGGTCGTCGGTTCCGCAAGAGCGGTTAGTCTGATACCAATTAGCGAAGTTTCAGGTTGTGCGGCACACGGGGTGCCGAAAGTACTTGTAGGTACTTCTTGTCATATGGTCCTGCTTCGTAATTTTTTTTTATTTTTATTTAACTGTAGCTGTGAAGTGGTATAGTTTTTTTCGGATTTTTACGTTATTTACATTAATATCAAAGCCGGTAAGTATTTTTTTACGCACCAAATCAAATTTGGCTCCTGTTCAGAAAGTAGAATAACTCTTTTTATTCCAGAGGAAAAAAAAAACGGCGATTTTAGTACTGATTTTTTTTTTATGCATGTATTTTGAGAAATAATTTTGCACATATTAATTTGCTTTACCAAAAGCAGTGTCTTTTAATTTCATTAGCGAATTCTAGGGATTGAATCGAGTAATAAACCTTTTAATCAAGGAAACCTTTAAAAAAAAATTATTCAAATATAATAGAAGTTTAAACTTATGTTTATTTTTTTATATTTTAATCTGCCAAAAATATCAATTTTTGTAGCAGAAAGTAGTACCTAATGAATGAATTTTAACTAGAAATAACCGAATATTATTTATTCGCATAGGTTAGGTATCTATTTTTTATCTGTTATTTCGCCTATTTCTCTAATATTTTTTCACTCTTCGTTATATAATATAAATCTTTATCGCCTTTTAAATTTAGGTAAGTTCTTGTAGTGTCAACTCCATTTAAAAACTAATTTTCTTAATAAAATTTAGAATCAAGAACCTTACAGGCACCTTAAACCGAGCGACAAAATTAAAATTTACACAAAAGTTTCTTCGAAGAAACTTATATTTCATATTATAAATATAATTTTGGGGGTTTGTAATCAAACTTTTAATCAATTGCGAAATATGAAAATTTTCGAATAAAGATATAGATAATGAAAGTTTTGCAAAGAGAATTTTCTAAATTTATACCTAGTTAGTAGGTATGTATTGAAATCAATTTATTTTAATTTTTTTCAAATGTCTCAATGTGCTCAGCTCAAATAGATTGAAATATGTATGGTGTATGCCTAAATTTGATATGGAATATGGAACACCCTGTAAACATTTATAGATATAATTAATTGTTTTTAATAAATGAGGTAATAAAGTTTTATGCTTTAAACAAATTTAAATAATGAACGGTTTTCAGCAGCCAGTATTTCGTGCTATAGTAAGAGTGAGAGTTCAAAGCTTTTTAAATATAAATAATAGTAACCACGTCATGAAAATACGATTTAAATAGTAATTGCAGGAAAATAGCGTCGGGCTGTAAGTAAAAAATGTAACGGATGAAGAAAGTACTTACTACTAATGCGTACTGCAGTAGGAAATTTCTCTTTCGTATACATGCAAAGATAAATGAAGTGTGTACTCGCTGTGTTCTTCCTTAATCGGTGGTACAATTTAAAATGTACTTCATGTAGAACAGTAAATAAAGCTCATTATCATACAGAGAAACTTTTTTAATTATTCAATGTTATTGTTTAATTAAGAGTTTCTGTCTGTCTAGCTGTATAAAATTATACGTCAATTATATCATTTTTTCGTGAAATTATGTTCACTGATGATTTTATACAGGGTGTTTCAGAAATGGCGTTACAAACTTTAAAGGTGGATATAACTCATCAAAATAAGAAAAAAAGTTCCTATGAATATGGGTCCGGAAACGTTTCGTTTTCGAGGTATTGGAGCTAGAAATTCAAGAAAATAAAACGTTTTTCTGTATTATATATCTCAATTTCCTAGATAAATATCTCAAATTTCGTACAGAGCTTACATCTTTTATTCTTTTTCAAAAATGGTCCCAATCGTCTCGATAAATCAAGGGGTTGGTCTTTTTTGGGGGGTGACACCACCCAAAACCACCCAAATTTTTTTATCAGTACATTTTCAACTAATTTTGATTGAGCCACTAGCTTCTCCGTATCATTGCAAAGGTTTTTGGTATCTTGCAATTTTTTCGTATCTCAAGTAAGAGGAAATCTCAGTTATTTATCTTGAAAAAATAAAAATATTATGCAATTTTTTATTTATTTATTTTTTTTTAATTTCTAGCACCAATGCCTCGCAAACGAAACGTTTTTGTACCTCGGAAACGGGACGTTTCTGGACCAATATTCATAGGAACTTTTTTTCTTATTTTAATGAGTTATAGCCACCCTTAAAGTTTGTAACACTATTTCTGAAACACCCTGTATTTGTCTGTCTGATTTTTTTTTTAAATAATTTTAAAAAAAAGCTTCAATTAATTAACACCAAAGTCAAATTACGAATGAAAATTTCTAAAAAAGATTTTAATTTGTTTACTTATTCCGTTTAAGATTTCAATTATTTATGTCATATTATCATGCTAAAAAAGAATACAAAACAGAAGGGATACAAAAATAATATTTGAATTTAAATTAAAAAAAAAAAAACAATGCATCTACATACTTGCATATTATGTAAAAAAATTACAATTACAAAAAATAAACTCCCACCCGTTCCTCATTGACTGAAATGCTGCCAGTTGCCTTATCTTCGCCTTTGTTTCCCACCATCTGTTAAGCTGTTTACCAGAACGATGTTTAATTTGGAAATCGTACTGTTGAAACATCTCCATCGAAGGCCCAGAGCGGAGAGTCATCAGAAAGAGAGCGAGATCTCACCCGGACTTTACAGTAAAGTTTAAAATATCCTCTAGTTTCGAAGTGGTAACATTCGATGTCCCCTTTCAAGTTTCCTATTGAAAGGTAAGAGTTACCAGAAGGAGATCCAGATCTCACCTGCATTCTACAGTCAGCGGTAACACTCGGTACCCCCTTTCAAGTGCCTCATCGAAGGCTAAGTGTCAAAAGAAGGATGACGCTTTCCGAAGTTATCGCCTTGCTAGAATGTAATGGGACACCCTGTATAAATGAGACTTTTATTTGTTTCTGACAGCTTACAAACTGTCAGAGACTCTTGTGAGAACAGCCCTATAGGCGCCGGTAATTTTGTCTCTTTTGGAATTTTCCATAGAGCAATAATTTCCATATCTAATTCAGCGATATTCTAACCTATCTACCCAACTGTCTCAGATAGCGATATACATATCACTAAAATAACTAGTGACTTTTTATACTGATCAAATAATAGTCACGAATTCATCATCTCCGGTCAAACCGTAAGGGGCTAAAAGAACTTGGGTTAGTTTCCCTTAGAGCGATCCGATTTTTCTGGCTATTTTCTTCATACAAAAATAAACCGTTGATGTAATATTAATATGTCTGCATAAAATATTCTGTACACGAACAAAATTAAACAATGAATCTCAATAAATCACCAGTAGCATAAATTAGTAAGCCAAAAACTGATTTGAAAATTTTTAATTGAACAAGCACTTCTTCAACCTTATTATGGCCGATTTGTATTCGTCTCTTGCACTGCCTTACTTACGTCACAATGATTTTTATAATTTTTATCACATCCTCAGTTTTTTGTGAAGTCCATATCAATTACCTAACCAATGACGCAACTAATGGTAGGTCGAAGAATTCAAAATTTAAATGTCTTATCGATTACATTATCGAAGGTTCAAAAATTTGTTATCATGATGAGATGCTTGCTTGAATTATCAATTAAAATTTAGAACCAACCATACCTAATTAAATAAATATAAAAATATATGGATATATATTTTAGTCGTTTTAAATAATTTAATTTCCATGTTAAAAATATTTTCAATCGTAGTCCATTCACACTAAAGCCAGTGAAACCATAGCAGAGAGTCCTGACATTTCCTAAGGACATGATTTCTGTTCAGCAAAGATCTCTGCAGTTCTGCTGTGCTATGACAAATGAGTACATATCATCCGTGAAGCGAAGTTAGATACTGAAACGGTTCAAGTTTCCCAACTTAAATAAATACATAGACTCAACATTTTTGTCCTCTCACAACTTTATTATTTCTTGTGTTTGCACTAACAGTGGAAAAAATAGCATCATGATCCGACAAAATTCCAGATATACATCCCTTCTCCCTTGTGTTCTTGTGTCTGAAATAGATAATCCGCAGTTGTTAGAAAATATACTATTTTACAGTTTAATCATTTTGGTACGTAGGTACAAGTTTACATGGTTTCTTGAAAATTGATTTCTATTCCTATTAGATCCCATGTGCCTAATTAACTAACCATAAACATCTATGACAGAATTTGAATTCAATCGGTTTGTTCATTGAAAAATTAGAAAATTTTTCATAAAACGATGACCCAGTATTCAATAAACATTATTTCTTTTGAATTTCAATTTAAAAAAAAAAAGTAATTAGGTAATTTGCTGATTTTACTGGTTGTGCCTATTGACCCACATTTAGTGTACCGGTGTCCGCGACTAAAAGTGTATGTTGTATTGAGTTTGCTGATATTACAATAAAATAGTGCGAACTCTAAGTAATTTTATAATTTATTGAAAATTTGTTTTCACATGATTTTGAATTGCAAGTAAAAATTTAAAACAATTCTTAGGATAATGTTTGCTTAACTTTAATTTAAATTTTTTTCCTGATTTCAATTTTAATTCGAATTCTTGAAAAGAAAAACAGAATTTCTCTATTTTAATTCACTAGATACTTGAACTCTGTCAACATTGTTTTTTGTAACCAAATTGTATAAAAATTTTAGTAGGTAGGTATGCTTCAAATATTCTCTGGTACCTGCCTAGGATTATCTTTGATATACGTAAAACTTACAAGTCCCAATATGGCTTTATAAACATTTTCAAAAAAAGAAAGTAGATGACAGAGGTTAAATCGGAAGAGGAGTCAAATCATCATTTTAAAGGTCTGACAAGTTTGAAGTCTCTGCTGTCGCCCGGTTGATATGACAGCTTGTCAAACTCTTGAAGCTACTGTTTGTTTTTAATTCATTAATAATTAGTCACAAGAATAGTGACTTCAATCCTAGGTCAGGTGGGTTAGTATGATAAGGGTCAAAAGACTTTGAAATATTTTTTTTATGGTATCAGGCTCAGAGTTCAGAATTTAAGAAAACTACCGAAAAGTGAAGCCGTAGCTTATTTAAAAGGTCCTGTGACCCTCATCATACCCACCAGGTTTGAAGTCGCCGATTTTCGTGTATAATTAAAAACAAATAGTTTCATCAAGACTTTGCCAAGGTTCCAACTTGGCTGACACTAGGGACTTGTGCAAACTTTCATTTTTAAAGAGAGGTGAAAGACCTTCAAAACGATCTAGCACTATCACTTGACCCCCGTTTTCATTGATTTATTAGTTGACGTGTTTCGGGGATCTTTTCTAAAATTGTCCATCTCTAAAAATAATAGGAATGGGAAGTTTTCGAATTTTTAGACTGTTTATCTTTATCCGATCCTTTTCCCTCGGTAGCCGACTCCGCTTCATAGCGCGTCATTGCTTCTAGAATTGTCTAGATTATTAGTTTCCGTTCGTTTAGTTTACATTTCTATTATATTACAAGACTAGTTATGACGTGACCACTGACCGCATGGGAAAAATGTGAACGAAATAGCAAAGTAAACCTGTTTTCAGCTAGGTCATTGAAAATGCAAATTTTGGTGTCAGCACACGACAGCTTTCAAATGACAGATCTGTCATCGCTGGTTGCATTTTTTCTTTTAATGAAACAAAGAAAATTATAATAATCAAAAGTTTAACGAAAGAAAATACCAAATTTGAAGGCTAATAATAATATTGTCAACATAACGATAGTGAAGTTGTCAGCTAAGGCAGCTAATGAACAAAGATAGCAGGAACAAAAAAAGGGTGAAATCGAATTGTTCAATGCGACTTCTTGTTATTGCGGAAAAACCGCTAAAAAATTACATTGAAAATGTTTGAAATAAGAAAAAGTGGTTAATGATCTGTGATTGGCTGATGCGTATGCGTTTGCCTTGCTTGGTTACATAACAACGATTTGGATACATTTTTACAGTTTTATTTATTATTTATCATTTTTCAATTGATTTTTGTCGATATAGATAATATGTTTCTTCCTTCAATATTATTTCTCGTTTCAGACTTACAATGACGACAATTATGCAAATGTTAGTTGAAAATTATAACGAATTATTGGAGCTAAAAAAAGGTGAGTGTCACTTTTTATATGTTTTTTGTTTGAAATTAATTTAATTTTTTTTTTTTTGATTGACTACTCAAAAATATCATGTTGAAGTGTATTTTCATGCATTTTAAATGTGTAATACTTTATAACCTGATTCCTTATACCAACTTTAGTTTTTGAATTCCCATCAAAATGGGATAAAACTTTGTTAACATCACGTGAATTGAAAAATATTTATTCATTCCCAGAAATTAGTTCACTCACCCTATGGGCTCGTATGGGCTCAACCTCCTGGTTATGAATAAACATTCATTTAACTCACTGGTATAAATTACCAATAAACGACATATTTTTTATTCCAGATCCTGTTATCGACTCATGGCTTTTTATGCACTCGCCGCTTCCAGTACTGGCAATCTTAGTCCTCTACCTCTATTTTGTCTTGCATTTTGGCCCAAATTATATGAAGAATCGGAAACCTTTTGTTTTAAAGAATGCCATGATTTTTTATAACCTTTACCAAGTATTATTCAGCATTTGGTTATGCTCGCACGCTCTCAATGTCAAAAATGCCATACCGCATTTTTTAAATCATACTTGTCGAAACCCTTCACCAAATAAAGAATTTCAAGCAATGGTAAGCACATTAAAACTAACATCTATAAATGCTTCGAATTTATATTGTATCCGCTATAAAAAAAATTATTTCAAAATCAAATACAGACGTCGAACGCTTGAACAAAATTTTCTAACCGAATTTTTTTTTCTAGCTCGCCAATGGTGCCTGGTGGTACTTTTTCTCCAAGATCACCGAATTACTAGATACAGTTTTCTTTGTTTTAAGAAAAAAACAATCACAAGTGTCTTTTCTTCATGTTTACCATCATTCTGTAACTATGGTTGGATCTTGGGCTTATCTTAAATACCTACCTGGTAAGTAAATTAGAAAACCTTCCCTCTATAATGCAAGTTTGAAGTTAACGACAATATTTAGTAGGTACCTATTGCCCCTCAACCTCTTTCATTTTAAATAATTTTTTGCAAGAATGTGAATTTGCCGAAACAAAAACCGACATTTTCAAGATTTTTCAGGTGATTAACTCCTGGAAAAACTTTATGAAAATTGGACAAAACTTGAGATAATAAGTATAATAAAACAATATATGGTAAACTAGAAAACTCTTTGCAAATGATAACAATAGACATAAAATAGTTAAGTGCTAAGGGCTAAGCCAAAGCTTTCGGCTTTCAAGTTCATTTCCTGTTCCGACTCTAGAAGGTTTACTAAAAGAATACCTGCGATACCATGCACATCCCTATGTCGAATTTTTCGTCAGGGTCTAAAGTATTTTCTTGTAGCTTATACTCGATAGCTCTCTCTGGCAACTCAGAAGAGGCAAGAAACATGGGACTGTGGCTTCAAAGGAACATTTTGCCCTACTATGCTTTCATGAGCATAATCACTTTCCCGTGCTTTCAGCAATATGAGAATAGATTGAATAGAACCATTCCCAGGTTGGTGATGTTAGCCAAGGCAATTGTAGCCTCTCCCAGCATCTCTTTGATAATCTTGTTATGTAAATGGCATCACGGTCTGAAGTCCTCCTGGCCTATGATGTTCTTCTTCATTCTCTATAGCGACTGGCGTAATTCTTGGTACGTTCTTGCGCTACCAGTACACGGGAGACTGATCGATCCCGTCTTTTCTGGATTATTATCTAAAGGTTCAGTTTTGTTTTTGGTTAAAGTATACAGTCTCATTTGACTCCGTGCAATGAACGAATAGTGGCTATTCTTATTCTCAGATACTTCTGCATTGGCCACGCAAAGTGATCAATAATATAATGCCGAGTTCTTGGATTTTTTATTCCAGCGGTTGTTTATTACTATCATGCTTCTTCTTCGGTTCCCGTATTCCTTCCTGAGTTTTGGCCTTCTTGGCAACTTTACATTTCTGATGCGCTCCAAACATGCAACACTACAAGGTGTCAACTGCTCATCACTGGGATGTTACTACCTTGTCTTGGAACCTTTTTTTGGAGCTGTGGTGGTGCGCTTGAGATGATTATGTTCTTGTCGAAGGTTTGCTCTGATTACCAATTGTACCAGATTGTGATACGAAGTACCTTCTCTTTTGCGAGTCCTCAATCTCTATAGTGGCTGCCTATATCTCGCCGCAGTCATTTACTCACATATAGGGGTAATCTAGGCCATTTTCAACCAGTATTGCTACTTCAACAGCAGAATTTGGGCTGGTTAAAGCAGTATACCACGTAGATACCCTCTGAACAATATTTTGTTGACATTCGTCATCTTGATCTGCTGCAACCAAGATGTCGGGTTGATGCTCCTATAATAGCTCTCCGACTTCTAGCTTTTAATTTATTGAGTTGCCAGGAGATTATCTAAGAGTGGTCCGTGAGTCAGTTGGTTCCCCTTGAGTGTCTTATGTTGTAATTGCCAGCAGTCCTGGCCTGCTTTTTGGGACTAGGCTTTGGATATCAATGGCATCCTCGATAGCTAGCATGGTGTCGGGACCTTGGACAGTTGGCGTAAGTTGCATTGCGCCTTGTCTCCGCTGTTGCAGGCTACAGCCACTCAACCTGTGTTTCCAAGCGCTGTGGCGGAATGCCAGATCTTCGTTTTTGTCGTCTTGACGAGAACAGAGATATGAGCACATTATTCTTGCGTTTATTGCCTGAGAAATTTAGTTCTCCGAGAACGTCTGTGACTAGCATATCCACAAGTTCGTCTCTCACTATGGGGTGAAACTTACTGTCCTCTTATAGCTGATACGTGAATTACAGGTATATCAGGATCAGGATCAATGAGGTCGTGGTCGAAGTCGATACTCTTTAACTTCATTCTTCCGTTTAATGTAGTCTAGCAGGTACCTTGCATGATTACCACTGGCAGCCTTGAATGGCGCTTTGTACGCCGCTGTGTAGAATAATGCTTGGGGTTGCCAGATTTTCAAAATTGAAAAGCGGGAGGTAGTCCATCGGAGGAAAAAATGTTTCGCGGCGGAAAAAAATGTTTTGTCGTGCCACGCAATGTCACAATAAGGTTTATTCAAATCCGCCAAAAAAACCGTCTCAAGAACGGTTTCGGAACCACTTTGGATACGAATTTCAGATTCTACGCACAAATTTAAGGTTTTGCGCGGAATCCTGACCGTGAAATGTAGTAAATGTACGGTTCCCTCTGCTGAGTTGGACAAAGCTATACCTTCGGAGTTCGGAGTTCAGACCCAGACTCAGACGCCTGAACGAACTATGCGGAGCCTTGAGTAGTTCTGTCTTCGTTTGGAATTGGAAATAAAGAAAGATGCAAATAAATAGTATCAAAGCGCACCCGCCTCTCGACGTTAATCGTAATGTACCCCGGTTACGATTGCGCAGTGTTGCAGATTTATAAGGAAGTATTAAAATTATGGTATAAGTAAACAAGAGCACATTTAGAACTATTATATCATATAATTTTTTTTTTTTGGGAAAAGCGGGAGTTTTGTTTAAGTGCGCGGGAGGCGGGAGGTGTAGAGAAAAAGCGGGAGCCTCCCGCCTAAATCGGGAGGGTTGGCATCCCTACTTGGAGGGGGCTTTACCCTTCCCAGGCGTAGGGTTTCCCCGACGACCTCTGCGTCGGCCTCATCGAAGACAGAATCTCCACCTCCTATTTCCATCCTGCTCTCCAATGTCACGGTACTTCGCGCGAGGAAAGCGTTTTCCTTGGACGATTCGTCCGCAGCCTCCCTGCGCTACTATGAGGTAATTCCAACCAACTGCTCATCGACTCGCTTCTTTCGACATTCGTTCCAGAGGAACTTTTCTACGGCGTTGTCAGAGCGCATCTGCTGCATCTTCACGATCAATGTCTGGACTTGACCTTTGTTGTATATCTTCATCTCAAGGTGCAGTTCAAAGGAATGGACCTTTCTCATTTTACCTGTGCTGAGCGCGCCGCTTGTGGGTAACAGATAATTAAATTGCCAATTTACTGAACGCGGTCTGACCCTGACGTATTTAAGCTAACCTCAATAATCAATCAATATCAATCAATATTGCTGAAAATTATTACAAAAACTGTTTATGATACAATGGTTCAAATGTGTTCTATGAGATCTTGTCAGAATGAGGCGAAAAAGAAGTCAAACCTTTCTTTCCACAAGTTCCCTAGCAATCAAATTGTCAAAAAACAATGATAGTTACGTGCTCTCAACCCGAATGAAGATGATTTAAGTTGGGAAAGGGATTTGATGGTTCGTAAAATAATGATTTCTGTATAAAAGACAATAATAATTGTACAATTAAAGGTTTGCTGCAAATATTTTTGTCCGACGGCGGGTTTTGTTTCTAATTAAGGTTATTACATATTTGTCATATTTACGTTTAAAAGTAAACACAAACAGAAACATAACAGAAATTGCACAATTTGACAAGTATAACCAATCAAAGTCATTCCACACAGGTATCGCGCGTCATTATATGTGTCTCTTTCTTAATTGCAGAAATCTTAATAAACTATCCTTGTTGTTCATTGCATGAGAAAGGTCCATTTCTTCCCTATAATAAAATGTAATGGAAATCGCGCGGGGGGAGTCACTCCAACGATGCCACAAATAAATATAAGAGGCTATGCTAACTGAACCTGAACTTCCTCACATTAGAAAAAACATTCTTGCGTGAATCATTATAAATTTTATATCCAAAAAAAATGTTGGTACCTACCTAAATTCGTTAATTTTTTACTTAAATTTTGGTTTTAAAAAAGCCAAATAAACCCATTATTTTTCTTTATTTTTCTAGGAGAACAAGGTGTCGTTATTGGTTTCTTAAACTCCATGGTTCATGTTGTAATGTATTTCTATTACTTCTTGTCCGCCTTGGGACCTAAATACCAAAAATACTTGTGGTGGAAAAAGTACATGACCTGGATGCAATTGGTACGAGCTTCAGACCATAATTTATTTGAGTTTTTTTAATTGATTTTTATTAACTTTTAGACTCAATTTGGAATCATGCTGATGTACCTAGCCCTGGTTGTAGTGATGGATTGCAAATTGCCAAGAGCTCTTACATATTTCTTTGTAACCAATGTCGTTATTTTCATTTACCTCTTCAGTGACTACTACATCAAGGCCTATTCGAAACCAAAAAGAACGAATACTCAAAAGGAAGTTGAGGTAAAATGCTATTTTCAGAACTACCTACATGATGGAAATCAGTGATTTGCGATATAAGTACTGCGACTCTACTATATTACCATCGTTCAATATTAGCTATAAGCATACCTAATTTTTTTTATATATTTTTCTCGTAGAACGTGGATGCCAATGAACAACTTCCCATAGAATATGGAATAGCGACATATAGAGTCAAAGAAAAGACGGCCGATAACATCATTTCGTTGCCTAAAGATCTGTATAACAAGAAAAAGGGCTAGAAGTTGTCTGAATTACTTCTCTTAGCACTTATATTGATTTTTGTGATTTTGGTAGAGATTACCTATAGTACTATCAAAAATCAAATGTTACATCAAAAAGTAAAAATACATAATACAGAAAAGGAATTACATCACTAACGACTTGATTTCTTCTGCAATATTTTGTGATTTCTCATTATCATAACTTTTGATTTTTGATGATATTGTAAAAACTTTTTTTTTCGCCATAATAAAATTGTGACTATTAAAATCCGCTAATGGAAATTTGCATTTTTCACTTAGTTACATATACTTACATACTTATCTTTACAGTTCCATTAGTGAATTTTATCTAAAAATTTAATTATGGTGGATGAAATACCGATTTAGTTATTATTTTTATTTAAGTAGTTGTTTCATTTTAACTTTGTTTAATAATATGCGATATAGTTTATTTCCTATTTCCTAGAAAATTTTTGTTGGATCTATCAATTTTTGTACCTACAATTGCCAATTCGACATAAAAAAATGTGATTTTTGTGAAATTTCGTCATGCTATTGTGTAAAACCATAGGTGATAGGTTACTGACTAGTTTAAATTGCTAAGTGGGAAACAATATGCGATATTTGCAATTTTGTGTTCTCAGCAAAAAACTATTTGAAATGAACCTAATCAATGAGTCGTAGAAAAAATGATGATTGTTTCGTTTTGAATAAATTAATATAAAATTAGTCTTTATTGTCAATAGAATGAATTTCGGTTTCTCTTTTCAGTCAGTCTTAACATATATAAAAATCACTATATTTTTCAGTTTGCTTATATTAAGTACGCCCTGCCCTCTTGAAACACAAACTTTTTCGAAATCCTTAAATCAAATCTGATCTGATTTTATCATTTTTTGTATTTTTCTAATGCACTTTGCAGAAGCAACAATCAATAGTAGGACAATTTGAAGACATTACTAGGTACCTACATTTCACAAATGCTTCTTCTAGAAAAAGCCTTTCAAACTCTTACATTATTGCGGATTTTAAAGCCCTGGCTGGGATTGCAAGCCAGTTTAGTCTCTTGTAGGTTTCCGAAAATTATTGAATATTTTATATATTCAGAATACTGGAAAAATATAACACTATATTTATATCCAGTGAGTACAAAATCTGAGCATAAAAACCAAGCATGTCTTGTTTGTGGCCTTCCTCCGCCTCCAAAACCTGGGTGATAAGTCTTTCAGTTTTGCGAATTTCCTCATTTTCAGTTTGTATTATTTGTTTGCTTGGGATACCTTCACGGTGGACTTGAGCTTGTTTTGTTGTCACTCTATAGCTCTATTTGAATGAAATGAAGGATAAATACCTTTATTATTTAGCCGAAACTGTTCTATGTAAAGTCTAAAATAAACGTCTATATGAAATAAAATACTTTGTTAAGAAATAAAAACATGATTTATTAAACTTCACATTTCATATTTTGAGCATCCATTACCATAATGCCGATTCTCATCTGAAACGTCATTCGGCGTCGCTATGCCTAGACTAGATGAAAACGGAGAACGATATGGTATAACATAATACACGCAAATGATTATTGAAGTCGTATTTTCCTGGTTGCTTTCTATATGAGAATCGGCATTAGTATAAAAATAACGTTGAAGAGCTTATAAAGCTGGATTACCTTATAGAAAAGTGAAAAATGTAATAAATTCATAAGTACATATTATTTACTTTTAATCTTCTCTTTTTGTTTGTCATCTTTTTTCGGCGCATCATAGCTTTGCTTATAAAAGTCATTGAACAAGTAATAGAAGAAAATGGCATTTGGCAGTGTTAACAATACAGTCCATTTTGGAAAGTCGCAGTCGAATACTAATAGTTGGGTGTTGTGAATGAACACCAAACAGAACTGAATCTAAAAAAAATATATAAGAAAAACTGGATATAATCAAAGTCTTAATGCTTGATATACTGTTACGAAATTGTTTCGAGAGCCCGGCCGAATTCTAGGAACCCAGTTGTTTACGACTCGCGCGATGGGAAATACTAGGTCTGTTTCTGCAACTAGTTCTCTGACTGTTTTCAACCAATGAAACTCGCTCTGACTGGTTTGTGATTTCTGCAGAAACAGACCTACTATTGTGATCGAGTCAAGCGCCGGATTTTTCTAGATAGATCCGGAGTACGATGGCGGTTATAAATAGCGCGTGGTAATAATCAATTTCAGTACCTTTGTCATAAGGAAGTTCTTGACATTTTATTCAAGACCTCTCTAATAACAAATACCTAATTTTTAAAAAAATTGAAACTGGCGTAAACTACGGTAGTAGGGATGTTTACTAATTTATTCCTATTTTCAAATCAAAATCATTTTCACTTCTGGGTAAATAGTGAATTATATTTGAATAGAATAAGTGTTTGTGAATTCACTCTAAATTGGTTAGCATGTCATGTGGCATTCTTTCTCTAAATTCTCTCTATGGTATTACCAAGAAGAAGTCGCGCGGATCAAGGTTCAACCTGAGAATGAACGATAGGAATGAACCGCGTATTCCATGAGAAAGCGGAAAAAGCGCTAGGTGTTCTCACCGATGATGTAATGGAATTGAATAGTTGTTCTTAGTTATCACCTAATAGAACAAGGAAAATGGCAAAAATCGCCAAATATGTGCAAAAAACATGTACCTACAGCTGAAAATTGAAAGCTTGGTAGGAGTGTCTAAAACAAGACAGTCAAAAAGTTGACAATAATATGGAAAAACATTTATTAACTGAAACATTATCTATTTCCAGTTTGAAACATACCATGAGATATTTACCTCCCGGTTCTATTGTAGAAAAAGGACCTTAGATATCTACGGTAACCAATTCTCTCTCAGACAAGCACCACCTCATTTGTTTCTCAAGATCTTTAATTTGCTTACGACTGCTTTTGAAGTTCACGTAGCAATCTTTCCACCATTGATCGTGGCACAAGTCTTCTTTTGTGATGTCCCCGTCGCCATCAACGCCATCATATCAGTTTTCATAATCCTGACCCCTATTTATTGAAGAAGTCTATAGATTTTTTGGCGCCTCTTTTTTCTCTTGTCTTTGGCAAACTTTGCATGTTCAGCACCATCGGCATAACTTCTTCCGGTGCGATGTTTGATCTGGAAGTTGTAACTCCGTAATCTCCTCAAGCACAAAGCGATTTGTACAGATTTTTGAAATTTAGGAGCTACTCCAAGGCTGAACTTAATAAAAGTGAGGGTTCGTCTCAGCTCAAATTGAGAATTTATCCTAGTTTTTGCAAAATTAAGTCCCATCGGTCTCCCAAAAGTGGCAGGTCCATTGCATAATCCAGACGACACGACGTTAAATTGATATAGGCAATCTACAGAAGTAGAGGCAGTCTTCTCTTTATCTTGTCCATTCATTTCCATGGACAATTTGATTCTCTTCTATGATGGCGCCGCTGAGCATTTCTTGAAGCATGGCGTTAACCTGGTGCTTTGTTGGTGGATAAGTGTGGTAGTTTCTGTTTTGATGAGATGTTCTACTAGATTAGGTCGAGTTTTCAGCAACCCCAGCAATAATCAACCTAGGACGGCCATCTATTGTCCCAGGTCATACACAGCCCACCCACTGACACAGCTATGTACGTCAGACCTAACTGCCATCAAATTGATGCAAAACAACAGTGACCAAAATAAAGCCATCGTCCTGGCTTCAGTATATCTCTCCACAGATGCTGAGACGCTACCACCCAACGGGGACCTTGTAGAGCTGGTCAGGCACTGCCAGACCTACGATCTGAAGCTGATTGGGTGTGACTCTAACTTGCACCACATCAACTGGGGAAGTCGGGACATAAATCCAAGAGATAAGTCACTGTATGACTTTATAATAGGTAAATCTGTTCATATGCAATAACGGCGCAATAACAACTTTCCTAAACTCTCGTGGTCAAACAGTAACAGATATAATACTATGCTCAGTATTATTATCATATTCAATCCAAAATTGGCGCGTATCTGATAAAGTTTCTATGTCGGATCACACATGGTTAACTTTCACACTTAACTGCTCGCCTAAAACCAGAAGACCTTATCGTGAACCTAGAAAAACCAATATTGCACAGTAGGTGCACGATCTGGAAAGAGCTCTACGAGAGGTTGCAGTTAAAACACTCAATGATGACCAAGAATTGGAGCGGTATGCGGTATGCCAATACCATCCAAGGTGCCATAATAAACTCCTATAAAATGTCGAGCACACTAAGGATGTTCCAAAACTCTGGTCACACCTCTGCCTCTGCTTGGTGGTGTCAGCAACTGGAACACCTCAGGGCGACGACAAGAAAAGCTTCCAATAAAGCTAAAAACACCAAACTACCTGAGGACTGGAACCTTCATAGGTACCAACTCAACCAGTTTAAAAAAGTCGTACGACAAAAACAAAGAGATGCCTGGAGAACATACTGCAACGAAATAGAAAACTATACGGAAACGGCGAGACTTCAGAAAGCTCTGAATAAAGACCCATTTCGGGAAATTGTTATCATCAAGGAGGATGGCACCTTCACTGCCAACCTTCAAGAAAGCACAGACTTACTACTATCGACCCACTTTTCTCCATCTCGGTTTCGACTAGGGTGTGATGCCTCATTAATAGCGCTTGTTGCAGATCTATATCTCTTACTCCGTCGATGAAGTACTGGACATCTATTTGTTCAATGAAGTCTTTAGCCGATTCTGAAGAGTTTCGAGCGCCTTTATATGTGATACCAGTCCCATTAATTTGCACCAGCAGAGGCCTCAAACTGTCGTTTGTACATGGACCTGGTGGTGGAGGTCCCGTGGTGATTACTTAAACTGGCCACGTACGAGAGATGATGATGATTATGATGAGAGGCCTCACCGACATATTCATTTTGCTACCGCTTTTGTTGTTAATTTTTATGGCAATGGCGAATTTTTACCATCATTTTTCGTTTTCTATCTTCTTCACGAATAATTTCTATTTCTTCGACTTCTTGGATGTTTTTGAACAATCAAGTTATCCTGGCAATATCGTTCTGTCTTTCTCTCAGTCGTCGATCTGTCTTCTGGTTCTTGCTAACTGTTTTGGAGTTGGTGCTGTCCTAGGCTCTCGCTTGGCTTCTTATTTTTCTATCACTTGGCTGTCTTATTTTCCTTGCAAAATGTTCTGAAGTAGCTCCTATTCTTGTTTAATTTCGAGCCGTCTATCTTTTTGTTCTTGCAAAGTTTTCTGGAGTCGACCCAGCTAGCTGCCGTTCTTCATCATTTTAGATTTTCTCTTTTAGTCTTCTGATTTTTTCCATATAGAGCGCACTTGGTTAATTTACTTCACTTATGCTACTTCTGACACCAACTGTTACGTAACTGGGTTTGCAGATAAGCGAGGAAACAAACTTCGTAACTCGCTAGATTATTCCATCAAAGTTGAACTTCGTTGTCAAGAATTCGAGGGCTATCCCTGTTATTCGAAGCTAGGACCTGAGACTTCGTATTTGGGGTGTCATGCCCGGCTCCCTTATGCGGTGTTACCAGAATGTGCACAGTTTTATCACCTCATGAAAAACGGTAATTTGGGAACCTTGCACTCCGTATAACAATTTATGTATTTGGCGCATCCCCCGTTGGCGATCTTCGTGTTTGGGTCCCCGAATATTATCCAAACGTTCGTAACAGGCATTTTTTAAGCTTCGTATGATTTGAAATTTCCACAAGATGAAAAGATTTTTCAATCTCAAGATGAAATGATTCCCTTTTTCCACCAGCTACTTCACTCGAATTTAGATTATTGATGGGATTTTTTTTTAAACAACCAAAATACACAGCAACGGCCCCTAAGTTCCCGCCAAAATTATACTCCTCTAAATACTCACTTCCATGCATGTAATTTCTGACCCTCATCACCCTACGTGTTTTTATTTGTATTTTCATATTTCTTCTGCATTCCAAATTTAGTGACGAAAAAAACTTACCAGTTGAAGTCTTGTAATATATTTCTTCCACCACAAATATTTTTGAATATTGGGACCTAATGCTGCTAAGTAATAATAGCCATATAACAAAATATGAACAAAAGTATTCGCTAGACCTATAAAAGTTATGTGTCCTCCTGGAAAGTATTTTACCATAATCCTGAAAGTTTAAAATTATGTTGTGTTTTAAGCATTTTATTATTACTCACCATGTCACAAATGGCATCATTGTGTGGTGGAACAGATGCAGGAAGGATATTTGTTTGTTTTTTTTTCTTAGTACAAAAAACACAGTGTCCAACAAGTCCGAGATTTTATTCAAAAAGTATAAATAACAACCCCACGATTGCTGAAAATAAAATGGGTTGTTATTAAAAAGATTCTTCCTGTTTTAAAATGGACCTAGCTAACTTAAATTAGAGGAGAAACGTCCTATTAAATTTGTTTCAATGCTGCGGTTTACAGATAGCCACCGTTAAATAGGGGAAAAGTATGTTTGCTCTTTGAAAAACTTTGAATGAAAAAGATATACCCAAGTAGGAAGTGTTGTGGGTTTAGGGCAAAAAAAATTTAAAAGGTACTTTGATTTTTTTTTGCCTTAAACCCACAACACTTCCTACTTAATATAAAAAAATATTGCCGGAGAAATATTAACAAACAATTTCAAATTTGTTTACATGAGAACCCTTGCAGTAATTAGAGAAATTGATTTAGCCGATAGGTATAGGTACTTGATGGAAATCCGTTACAAGTTTTGAGAGGAAACAAAAAAGTTTATAGATTTCCACAATTTTATTTTTATGATGCCGTAACATGTTTCAGCAATATTCAGCACACTCTTCTTGAGACGAAATGATTCCGTCCTGAAGAAAGTGAACAACCGTCATCAAAACGTAGGTGAAAAAATTGAAGTTTGCAGTAATAGAATTGTTGCCAGAAATAATTAGAAATTAAAAAATATCCTGTAGCAACCAAGATAACTTCAATACCACCGGTAAAATGTTGAAAATCCCAAGGAATAAAACTAATGCAAAGTGAAAAAATTCATTTTACTTTGGGTAAGTTTGGGTCATTCCAGAAAAGCAAAAAGAAAACTAAACATGGCTACTTCAATATCACCCGCCTATTTTAAAAAAAAAAATAATTACCCTCATAGCAAAAGCTGATGTCGTCAAATCCAAGGGCTGGCAATTCCAGTCGAACCTCGACCACATATAAATAGCCTGAAACAAATATATTACCAATCGATAATTAGCGACACCCGACAAAAAAAATACCTCGTTGAAAAGATATACATTAGCAGCCACTTGTAATAAATTATACACCATCATAATTCTTTTGAGAGAGTAAGGTTGCTTATCCTTCATATAATTTGGACCACATTTTAGCACAAAATACAAATATGCAAACAGAATTGAGACTACTGGAATTGGATTGCCCATAAGAAGCCATCCTGACGTTCTTGGATCTGAGGAAAAAAATATACATTTTTTTTTTAAACAATAACTTTATATAGGTGAAGTAAATATTGATAGATAATATATTTTTATAATAAACACAAAATGTATGGGAAAGGAAAATAGTCGAAAAATACATGCATTGCAAAAAAAAAAAATCCTACCCAAATGAACTTTTCAGGGATGATAGGGGGCGGGTGGGTGATCATAAAACCGAAAATATCAAACATTCACCCCTCTGACGTTTTGCGCTATAGGGGTTGAAAGTGCGCCATTGGCGATTACTTGGTACCTATTCATTTTACAAAAAAATGTTTCAAATAAAAGATGTGCAACATTATTTGATATACAATGTTTATCTGAAGAATTTTTTGATTAAGGGCCGTCTGTGGTCATAAGGGCCGTTTGAAATTTTATAATGAAAATGAAAAATTGTAACCAACGTGAAAAAATTTTCTACAACACATACAACATTTTTGCTTTATGAAGTTTTTACTCACCCCCTGCCGTTTTTCAATAGGGGTAGTTTAAAGTTTTTTTATTTTTCTACAAAACAATTTTTTTAATAAAAGTTTTATAAGATTACATTTCCTACAATTTTTCCTTATCAACCTTTTTTTATAACTCACCCCCATTCAACGGGGGGACACTTCCCTTAGGAAAATTTTATTTTTTAGGGGTATATATTAATTTTTTTTTTCTTTTCTCGCCTCTAGTGCATATAAAAAGTTGCAATTAACATTGTATTGAAAGGATTTTTTTTTCCACCACCTTTTTGTTTCTAGGGGTAGTTCGCCTATTTTTAACTTTACAAAAAAAAATTATAAAGAAAAGGTGTTCAAAATAATAAAATGAACAAGTATTCTTAATAAAAAATTTTTGTAAAGTTGAAAATCGGCGAACTACCCCTAAAAACAAAAAGGTGATGGGAAAAAAATCCTTTCAATACAATGTTAATGGCAACTTTTCATATACACTAAAGGCGAGAAAAGAAAAAAAAAATAATATATACCCCTAAAAACTAAAATTTTCCTAAGAGAAGTGTCCCCCCGCTGAATGGGGGTGAGTTATAAAAAAAGTTTATAAGGAAAAATTGTAGGAAATGTAATCTTATAAAACTTCTATTGAGAAAATTTTTTTGTGGAAAAATAAAAAACTTTGAACTACCCTTATTGAAAAACGGCAGGGGGTGAGTAAAAACTTCATAAAGCAAAAATGTTGTATGTGTTGTAGAAAATTTTTTCACGTTGGTTACAATATTTCATTTTCATTATAAAATTTCAAATGGCCCTTATGACCACAGACGGCCCTTAATCAAAAAAGTCTTCAGATAAACATTGTAGATCAAATAATGTTGCCCATCTTTTATTTGAAACATTTTTTTGTAAAATCAATAGGTACCAAGTAATCGCCAATGGCGCACTTTCATCCCCTATAGCGCAAAACGCCAGACGGGTGAATGTTTGATATTTTCGGTTTTATGATCACCCACCCGCCCCCTATCATCCCTGAAAAGTTCATTTGGGTAGGATTTTTTTTTTTGAAAATCGACAATTTTCCTAGACTGGGTATCATAAATTAAATGTTTTGAGGGCTCAGACTGGCTATTTTTTGTTGCTTTCTTTTTTTTTGTTGATATCGAAACACATCATGCAATCCCCTGAGCCTCTCTACGTAATAATAAGTACCTACATGGATGTTAAAAAAAAATGTTATCATTCTTTGATTATATGTGTAAGTACCGGGCAAGATCCAACTCATGAAACATGCTGGAGGCTATACTTTTTTCTGGAAAGAAGGAAAACGAAAATAACCACTCGACGGGTTAGTTTGTGGTAACCATACAACTCCTCGTCATTTTGACGAGGTTTCTTAGGGGATAAGTGAAAGGCTCATGGCTCTCCGTCTAAATCTCACAGAAAACCATCAGGAAGCTGCAGTGCATACGCCCTGCCCCAGCTTAAGATTCCAATGATAACAAAAAAAGGAAGAATTTTATATCCTTGACAAACATATCTTCATCTGACAAAGTTTTTGTTAAGAAGTCAGCAGAGACTATTCTAAATGACGTTCCTTTCCGTCAAGAGGTAGAAAAATCTTATCAAGCAACTAAAAAATAGTGGAGCTGCTGGGTTGGACGAAGTTAGATCGCCGAGATGATTCCCACAGGTCTGCGTGGCAATTCAATCGTTATTATATTTGAAAAAGACGACAAAGCACGAGGAAATGATCGAGGAATACCATTACTCTCAACAGCTGGAAAAGTTCTTTCCCATGCAAGAAACATGAATTAATAAATAAGAATATTAAATAAAAGTCAGATATTGCAAGAAGTTAGGGTTCCAATCAATTTTCTGGATCCTAATTTAAAAAAAGGACGCCGTGACCGACGTGACGCCATGTTTCTTAATTTATCCCAAACCATTTCACACTGCCCGAAGATACTATTTCTTCTTATAGCATCATTTCGGAGTATGATTCATAGATTAATTTCTATCCCCTTAAATGGAAATAGTTTCGCTAAAGTCGACATTAGGTAATAAACAAATTATTTTTTTTTCAATGGGTTTACTTTCCAATTTTGTATCTACTACAAACAAATACTTCTTATTCCGTTATAATAATTGTAATGACAATAACTGACCAAGGGAACTAATATTAAACCGCAATAATTAGACACGTCATTATACAATAATTGTTCAGTTTTGCAAGTAAATATATCGGCAATAATGAATAATATAATATGTAACTATGTATCAACACAATAAATATAGTTCGATAATGATAATAATTGTCTATGTATTTATTCCTACTACTTATGCCTATTTCAAATTTAACAAGAGATCGTACACCTTTAATTACAATAATAACTATACCTATGTACGTCGCATATTATGTTTTTTTTTCTTCAAATTAATAGTGATTTATACACCAAGTGAATTTAATCAATAAACATTTCCTAACGCACGTGTCGTAGCCAAAATTTTATTCCGTTTGGATGGAAATTCAAAAAATAAAGTCCAAAAAATCAGGTTATAAAAGTATATTGTAGCAGATTTTTATATGGGCAGAGTGAGTCAAAAATATCTTAAGGTGATAATCTTCTACTCACCTTTGATGTGCGTTTAATAATGTCATTTTTAAAAGTCAAAATGGGATTAAAATATTAAAATAAATTTTATTAATCTCAATGGATTTTTGTAGTTTGAGCTCACTGGACAATTGGGAAAAATTTCCAGTTAGGCAAGCGGCGAATAAGTTTTATTTTTATCCGTTGACAATTGGTTGCTATTAACTCTAGCCGTGTTCGTTTTTGTCATTTTTTTTGCTCCGAAATTTTGACAGGCACGTGATTTGTTAATTGAAATTGTCTGATCCAGTCACGTGCCTCTCAAAATTTCGGAGCAAATAGACGAAAAATTTGACAAAAACGAACACGGCCTCTATAACGAATATCTATCTCGAATCATCACAATAAGAAAAATATTATTTCAGAATTAAATCAAAAGAAGTTTTCCAAATTTTGACAAAATCTTACTAAAATTTGTTTTAGATTTTTGGAAAAAAGGATAAAATATGTTACGTTTCTCGAAGAAAAGTAAAAAACATAAAATAAGACCAACCTGCTGCCTCAACAAAGAGGTACTGCCAGGTGGACCTAATTGTATCGTTACCAGGAAGGACTTCTACCATGATTGAGCGATATGCAACCAAACACTAAACAAACTCCTGTGACACGTTAAAACTGAAAGCACAAAGTTTAAGCAGGCGAAATAATAGGTAATTGTAGAAAGTCATTTGTGAAAATTTGCACACAATGTTTTTAACAGTAATTAATAAAACATTTCTTGGTGGCGTCATATTTTGTCATATTCAACGACGTTTTCAACTGAATTCCAAAATTCTTTATTGGCCGTTAGCACATTAAAAGATAAATTTATAATGGCTAAGCCAATGAATTTTGAATAAATAATTCAAAAACCCTATTTATACCTAAATCTAATAAACTTTTTCTATCACTACCTATACTTTATTCTATGTTATACTGAGAATGTGCGATTTTAACAAAACGAAAATAGTGATGAAGATGCTTTGCCAGAAGATGTTGAAATTGAAGCTGCAAATGCGGTGAACATTTTGTTGCCGCGGAAATCGCGCCTAAAGTATGAATCATGAAATAGTTTGTTATAAAATTGACAAAATCGTGGGTTGGGGGGTTGGGGGGGAGTTGGGATCCCCAACCCACGATTTTGTCAATTTTATAATTATTGGGAGACGAATATAGAAAAAACAAAAAACAGTTTTTTATGTCATTAGGCCAAAGCGTGCGATTCTTTGTACTGAGCTCAAGCTTTAAAGGCCGAAGCTGAGCGAAGGGTTGGGGGCCGAATGGCATTCAAAATTTTTAATTTTTTTAATTATTATAAATTTTGTCGTTGACGCTGCCATCTATCGAGAAGAAAACGCGAAATTAATTACAAGGACATAATAGAGCTATGTTGATCCGTTATCAACTGCCAGTATACTGGATTTTACTGTCATTTGCCGTTCCGATTTCAACAGCGTACTGTTTTGCTGGAAAAAAAGGTACAGCAGGGAGATTCTAAAATCACGATTCGACACACGACTCGACAACGAGACGCAACTCGATAACGAACTTGTCGTCTCGAAAGCTATGTTTCCAATGAGATTCGAACCTAGGATCCTCGGAAAAAATCGTCTCGTTTTCGAGTCGTGTGTCGAATCGTTATTCTAGAATCCCCGACAATAAATATTAATGACGTCATTGGCGCATTCAAAGCGTCAATCAGTTTACTGAAAATAATATCGTAACGGCGTCCAGGAAATTCAGTACTGACAGTTGATATCGGAACATAGCCAATATCGCTGATTGACTGCCTCTAACGAGAGAACAATGAACAAATTACTCCATAAGTACATAAAAATCTTTTCAATCCTAGATACCTACACATACACACATACACAATGGATCACTTGGATTGAAATTATACGGATCAATTCTGTGCACATAAGCAAATCTTATAAGTTTCTATAGGTCTATAATTACTGCAAAACGCACGGATTTCCAAACACCCGATCGGAAATATATACGATTCTATACGATTTTCTTTAAGTTGGAGGAAGTGCATAGGCTTATAGGCAACTTATCGGCTTATAGAAAATTATAAATTTGCTTATAGATGTGCACAGATCTGACCTCTTAATGTCTGTTCTCACAAGAGTCTCTGACAGTTTGCAAAATGTCACATAAATAATCGCTCAGCTAAGTTATCGATTTATCTTGGAACGACGGCATTTGAAAACATATATGGGTGATGCTTTCAAACAGTTTGCAAACTGTCAGAGACTCCTGTGAGAACAGACCAATAGACCGCGTGAAGAATCGTTATTTGTCATTCATACAACGAGGTTCAGGTTGTATCGTTTCTAGACACAGCTATAGAATCTGAAATACGTGTGGTTATACTTCGTAGGACAATGAAGAGAAAATGAATTTCGGCACGTTCTCATCCATATACGATACTTCTTCCATTGACAGTACATCAATAAAGCGAATGGCTCCAGATGATTGAAATCCATTATGGCTACCTTCATAAAAACAAGTTTGACAAGGTTCACGATACAACCTACCATGTGTCCGCCATTTTTTCGGCTCATCGCCCCTCAGAAGTCGTCGGCAAAATTGAATTTGCCAGACTATACCTGGATCTACTTAACTAGAGCATGGCATCAACCCAGCTCTAACAAATATTATAGAGAACGACCCTGCATACAATGAACCAGAACTGATTTTCCAACAAGACAGAACTCCTCCGCATTACGCGCTAATAAATGTGTGCAGTTATTCAATATTTGAATGAAACGTCTCCAGGACGCAGGGGTGCAATTGAGTGGCCATTTCGGTCACCGGACTTAAATCCTTTCGATTTTTTTTGAGAAGGCACATAAAAAACAACGTTTATAGCACTCCCCCACATTGGAAGATGTCCGAGGATGAATCATTGACGAACCTATGTTGCGAAGTGACACCGCAAAGTGCTCCGGATTGCACGGCAACGGCTTAAAGATAATAGAAATTTCTCGTGCGTCAGACGCTACGCTAATACGGTACCGCTAACCATACGGTATTCCACATGGTATTTTATAGTTCTCGGACACGAAGACACATAAATCCTCTAATCCCTTATTTTGTTTACATTTTGACAGCTGTTGATGTTTTTGCAGACATAAATGGACCGTAAACTAGTTTTGACATAGCATAGCGTTACGGTAAGTTCCGTTAGATAGCGGGCTCCGCTAACGCTAACGCTAATACCGTCAAATAGCGTTACGGTATTTGAAATTTGTACGGCACGAGAACTCTCTAATCTGTATCACTGTGTGGCCCGTTAGCGTACTGTTGTGCCGTACAACAGTATGAGCATTTTACTTGACTATAATAATAATATGGTAGGTTTTCAAGTAAAGTTTAATCGATTCCTGCATTTTTCAAAGCTCCATATTTTATAAACGAGGAGAAAGATTTTGTGAAACTTGACCCCCATTCTCATTTGGAAAAATTTGGGGGACGACACCCCACACTTTAAGGAGTGCTTATCGGCCTCGTTTTTGGTAATCGCCGCCATATTGGCGTGATAGCATTTCCGACGTCATAACTAAGTCGTCAGCTGTTTGCACTAGCGGTCGTTGTTTAGAATTTAAATTTATGATGAAAAATATTATTTAATTTTCATTAACATAATAGGCAAAGAGGAAGATGAAAACGAGATCTAAAAAAGAATTGTTTTACAATGGTGTTTAATCTAGTGAAACCAAGTGTATATATATAGCATAACCTGTGGTGCAGCCCACGTCAAGGCGAAAAAAGACATGCTGCCTACGTCACAACTGGTGATTTGGCGTGGTGGGGGGCTTCAGATTTGTTCCACACAGGCCTTACGAGGATAGGCTATCCTGTAGTAGTAGTGTGTATTATCCTTGGGATGACACTCCCACTCGGTGAAGTGGAAGGTTTTGTTATGCTTTCTACGTCTAAAATTGTCCCCCTGAAAAATAAAGTTGACGTATTTTTGGATACGGTAGTTACAGGGTCTTTCCCCATATATTGACCCCTCCTCTACAGGGGTTATGTGAATAGATATCGAAAAATTGTAAATACAAAAGTTTTGGGGTTTTACCTGAAATTTTTGAATCCGATGTTAAAAACTTTTTAGGCGATTTTCAGCCTGGAATGATTATTATTTGGTTATAACCAATGCATTTCCGCCGTTGCGGTTTTAACCAAAGTGGGGGAAGTTGTGACGTCACATATCAGCTGATTTGCTTTTGGTATTTACCACTTATAACCGATTATAACCCAGCTTTGGACTTGGGTTAATCTTTTGGTTACAGCTTTTTGATGTTATTGTTATTATTTTTGAAATTTGTATTGGTGTTTTGTGATTTTGCAGTTGCGTTGTAGCCTGGCACAATGAAAGAAGTAAACATTCACTCACTCACTGCAATTCACCATGTTTAGATCGAGGTTTAGATTATCTCCAAAGAAAATCTGTTCGATAAACGAGACTAACGAGAGATTCAGCTCCGTTTTCTGTACCTAAACAAAAAACTATTGTTGAAACGAAAAAACAAATAAGAATAATAAACATAATCCTATACTGCTATAACCAAATCATTTCAGCGGTCAGTTCCTTGGGTTATGATTCTTGAATGGTGGGGGGCTATGACGTCACAGTTGGCTGTCAAAGTTGTCAACCAAAAGAATAACCACGGTATTTACCGATAAATAATCATTCCAGGCTGAAAATCGCCTTTTGTCTTTTTAGAAATGTCAAATTTTGACAGATGGTTAGTTTTTTCTTATGGAACATCCTATATATTATTTCACAGTTGAAAAGAGTCGAATTTTTTTATTTCAGATATATATGGTTTAACTACTTTTATTTAAGTCATTTTGGAAATATCGGGCTCTAAACTTCAAGAAAATTACATTGAAAGACCTCCTGTGTCATGTCAAACAATAACAATGGCTTCGCCTACCAAGGTGTTTCCATGTACCTACCTATTTTTCTAAAAGTTAAAAGCCCGATATTTCCAAAACGGCTCAATTAGCAGTAGTTAAACCATATTTGAAATCAGAAAGTTCGACTCTTTACAACTATGAAGTCATAGGTATACTGTATTCCTTTTATACATTAAGTTACACCGAATGAGCTCCTCGGAGTCACTCCAAAACACACAATTCAGATTTTATCATTATTTTTTAATATTAACATTACCGTCAATACCTAAAAGGGCTTCTTGCACCCCCCGCAAATTTGGTGCATCAGGGGAAAGGGGGATGCACTATGAGCGACCCGAGTGCTTAACGCACTTTTAAAAGGAACGCTCAAACTTTTGACATTGACCAGCTCCGGGTAACTCAACAGGTAAAAGGAATACAGTATTTTATGAGGTGTTCGTTAAGAAAAAACTGACCATCTGTCAAACTTTGATATTTCTAAAAAACAAAAAAGTTTTCGGCGAATATATGAGGAAAGACCTTTGAATATAAAACTACAGGAAGGAGCGTTTTCTATCTGTCACTACAGACAACGCAGAGACGGAAACGGCCATATTGAGCCTCCAAGTATGGACTCATCATTTGTTTTGGTGGTTCGTTGTGTTCTCATTAAAGTGGATGTTTAATGGAATTTAGCGGTTTTCAGTGATAATAAGCACTGGGATTAGTGCGAAAAGAGTGACTCATAATATTGACAATCATATTTAAATAAATATACGCCACTGTCAAACCGGAAATACTAGTCGGCCATATGCAACCTCCACAAATTTTGGTCGCACAGATTTGAAGATATGCTCCTTCCTGTAGTTTTATATTCAAAGGGAAAGACCCTGTACCCACGTTTTCGAACGGCCACGCTCTTTGAATAGGGCGATTTTATGTTTGACCTTCAAGATGGCGTTGCGGCATAATAAACTAGCTATCTTTGTTTAGTGAATGGAAAACAGTGAACATGGAAAATGACAATTGACCGACATAGAATGGTGGATTCATCGGTAAAATTTGATGAGAATTAACACGCAGGGGTCCATAAGAGACTGTGTATTTTCTGTGAATTTCTAAAGTGTTTTGTGTTTTTATCAGTTTGAAAAGGTTTTTTGATAATTTTTTTTATTTTGGCGTTGCTGTGGTTCATGTAATTTATGTTTTTGACATTCATTTGCACAGCTTCTTGGGGTCCGTTTTTTACCTGATGCCCAGGTATTTTATTGGTAGGGTAGGTAATAATATTCCAAGGAACTCGGTTTTAACTACGAAAATTAAAGGAAATTGAAATAAATTAAAATTCATCAAATTAAACTCTGATACTGGTAGAAATAGCACACTTTTATATGGAGGCAATGTTTAACTGTGGTTTAACCTCAATGGTTTGCTTACATTCGTGCCACATCGCCATCTTGAATTATCAGCTGATTCTAATAGATAGAAAATGCTCCTTCCGGCCACGCTGTATATTTTCCAATACATCGATTTTTTGTTCCGATATATTAATCGAGACGACATAAATATCGGTATCGATAACAAAATATCGATCTCGTTCATATATCGATATATCGTTGCCATCCCTGTGACACTAGTTGGTTCGTTTTGGTTCCCTCTCCCTTTTTGGTTGACTTGGCTTGGAGCTTGGCTAAAGTTTATTTATAATTAGTTTCGGTCAGTTTGAGTTTTCATTCCACTATTTTCAGGAAAATTGTGACCCCCGCCAACTAATGTCCGCCCATAAGATCAGTAATCAGGCCCCTCCTGCCGATATCAATGGGGATGATCATTCTTACCGCCAAAGGGTGGCTGTCCATTTCAGGTTGAGGTAAGAAAAATAACCTCAAAACATCTCTCAAAATTTGAATTTATGCCAATTAGGTAAATCCTATTTTACAAAAAAAAAAAAAAATTAACTCATAGATACTTAATTTTTGGTCATAACCAACTACTTTATTAGTTATTGCTTTTTTAGTTTGTTTCATTGAATAGCAATATTCGAAAATTTCAGGTTATATTTATCTTGCTCGAACTAAACATCCTCTGCTGAATTTATACATGTACCCTTCCCTTGGACCTTGTTGCTAACTTATTTGTTCCATCTCATTTATCTCAAACCACAATTCAGTTTTAAAATCTTGCATTCCGTGAAGCTAAAGTGAACTTTAAAGATTGATAGTATTCTGTAATCTTTGTCAAAATTGATGGAGTGCCAATTTTTCTGTCTGCATTCGTTTTAGGATTAGGAATCGCAAGCCACGGAGCTACAGAGTCAGAATGAAGCAAAAATATTATTTTTTCTTGTTAACAAAATTTAAATATAAGTTTTTAATGTAGTAAGTCAAATGAAAGACTGGTCTCAACCCTAGGCCTGCAAAGTGTGCTAAGAACTTTGGGTTATTATGAATCACTCTCAGATTTAAAAAAAAGACATGCCTAGTTCAGCTAGGCTAGTCTAGGGCAAAGATCCAATATTTAAAATATATTATGTATGTACCTATGTAAAATATTACCCATATTTTATTGATAACTAAGTATAAATTTGTAAAGTATCTGAGTAAATAAAAAAAAAGGATAAAAAACTTTTAGTTATTGTTACTAATCAACCTAAATCACACTTTTTGCAGAATACCCATTTGCCACTATTATTTTTGGATTTGCATTGAAATTTGTTCCTTATCAAATTTTTGTCTCATTTTATTACGGTTACTAAATTACTATAAAAAGCCTTGTTTTTATTTGAATATTGGTAAATATACCAATTCACAATAACAATACAAGCAAGTTTGTCTGGTCCAAGGGAGTTACCCACCAGATTGAGCCAATTTTCGTTTTTTAAACCAGGTTTGAAGACTGTAACAGTAACATACAAAAATTATTAAATTGGCTCCTTGAAAGTAATATTGCAACAACTTTCCGTAAGAATCGCCCGAGGGGGCGACCACTCCTGAAAAATATGTACATGTATTGCGGAAATCCTTTGATTTTGAAATGATTGGCAGCGATTTCGGAGAATTTTTTTAAAAATTTTCGATTTCGGAGGATTGCGAGGCGATTTCAGTGACTGCAGAGACTGCAGGGGGGATTGCGAACTGATTTTTGAGATTGCGAGGTGATTTTTGGGATTGCAAGGTGATTTCTGGGGATTGCAAATATGATTGCGGAACATAATTCATTCGATTTTTTCACTATCTTTTGAATTTTTTGATTTTAATTTCGGTTTTTCATTCATAAGTTTATAGATAGGTATCTACAGGACTACAGACTTATTTTCCATGTTTTAATAGGCTATATCGAAAACCAGCAGAACATAGGTATTAAATATGTGGAAGCTCTTTTTTGAGAAAATAACAATGGCGAGGACAAATCACAGCTAACTTGATGTGCTTAGGAAATACAGGGCCCTTTTCAGATTTTGTCCAATTTTAAGAGCTTCTAATTTTTTCATTAATCAAGATATATAAAAACCAAAAATACTTTCTACAAGCAGTTTTACAAGTGGAATCCAGTGGCATGACTAATTTTTTTTCCATATGCCTCCGATTTTGGAATATTAACAAAAATTGTGTTTTTTAAATGGGACACTCCGTATATTATTTTTTCATCACATAGCTCTTTTTGAGCTGATTTCAATGATAAAAGGTTTTATAGCTTTATCTTCAATAGTTTTTAAGGAAAAAAATAAATTCCGTTTCTCCATAAAAAACAATGAGCTAGAAAGAGATAAGTCATGAAATAAATTATGTGTTGCTTATTTATCATTATCACCCCCAATTAGGTATTCATATTTCAAATAAAAAATTTGTTGAATTGTTGAATTAAGAATAGAAATGTGTAGCTGCTTCATAGTTAAACGGTTAAACTTTCTCTTTCTAATTCATTGCTTTATAAAGAAACGGAATCTATTTTTGTTCCTCAGAACTTTCGAAAGTAAAGCTATAAAACCTTAATCAGCTCGAAAAGAGCTATGCAATGAAAAAATAATATACGGGGTGTCCCCAAAAATACAACTTAACAACAGGGTTACTATTCCAAAATCGGTGGCATCTCGAACACTGGATTCTACTTGAAAAACAATTTAGCCGTGGTTCGTCTTTTCCATTGTTATTTTCTCAAAAAAAAAATCTCTGCTGGTTTTCAATATAATCCATTAAAACATCGGAAATGGCCACCCTGTATGTACATGTCCAACTGCCACTTTAAAAACTTGATCCAAGTATCATGTTCCAATGATTCTGAAATACGCCCAATATACCAGGTGTCATAAAGAGCTGCATAATATTTTTCATGGGATAATGACATTTCCACCTGTTCCACATCAGATCCAGCATTTGATCCTTCAAAAAAAAAACACTGCTGAATTCAAAAATGAGAGTATCAAAAACTTGATGTCAATTATCAAGGTACCGCAAAAACAAACGGGAAAAATCCCGATCAACACCTGATTTTTTAACCCCACCAGAGTTGATTTTGAGTGATTTCAGAGATTGCAAAGGTGATTGCATAGGATTTCAGCGATTGCGGGAAACGATTTCGGGACTGCAAGAAGGATTTCAGATATTGCGAACTGACTGCGGGATTTCAGAATGATTTCGGATATGATTGCAAGTGATTTCAGGCCAAATGTACCCGTATTGCGGGCAGTGGTCGACCCCTCGGAATCGCCCTAGGAAACAGCCATTCCAAAAGCAAAAAATTCTAAAAAGCGCAAGTAACAGGAAAAAAGTTAGGTACATGAACTTTTTTAGGGCTTATAAGTGAGGAATCCTGAATGGATATAGGACACTCCTTATTATTGTATCCTGAAAATCTTAATGAATATCTAAGTGAAATGATATCAAATATGTTAACTTAAATAGGTTAACCCTATATACAAAAATAAACCATTATATAATTAAAATTCCTACTCTTGAAAACCCTCAAGAAAGAGACAATATTCATTGTACTCTCATAATTAGTTCTCAAGATATGCAGGTTATTATTTTTTCTAGTGGAGTATTCACTGTCTTCATTATCAACTATATATTGGTTGAAATATTCTGGTTCCAACTTATTCAAAATCTTATTAACACTTTCTCTGCGAATATCAAATGGGATCTTTTCCCAGGAGCTGAAATTGTCGCACATAGGCGACATCGGCACTAGACTCTGAATTTAGATGTCCAGAGCATATGTCTGCCTTTACTAGCTCAGAATCTGGGAGTTTTTTGTAATTTTTGGAACACAATCCAGGACGTTTGAGCCCGAGGGACCGGCCTCACTATCCATGTTTCCATTGTTTTTCATTCACATGTGATTAGGGACCAACACCAACAAACTCGCAAACAGAAAAGAAAATCCGTTAGTTCAATACTTTCCTAACACACTGACAAAAATTCGTTCACTTTCCAGCAGTGCTAAATTTGTACAGAATATACAAAGCAATGCATACACTTGTCGTACATAGGCCACACGCGCACTAGGGTACGTACGCTCATGTCGCCTAAACGCTTATGTCGCCTATGAGCGACATGCGCAGCAAAAGTGTTAATAAATACCATGGTAGAATAGTAAATTCTTCGTTCAACAGAAAACCAGCCTAGTTGTCATAACATGTCTGATATTGGTGTGAGATGGTTAACTTTCAACATAATTCGCATGTCACGATTTTGAAGGTTTTGTGAACTGTTTGGCTGAAGTCTTCAATCAGTCGCTTAGCAAGCAACATCTCCTGAAGTCGCCATCCAGTCGTGATGGCGAAACGTCGAGAACCGATCTCCAACGACGACGGCCGAACAGCCCGAAAACCCACTCATCATATCATTTCTTGTTTTTACATCTTTTTTATGCCTAAAAAAAACTATAGGTGCTCAGAAAGGTGATCCTTTCAAATATGAATGTCATCATTTAAATTGAAAATTGTGCACTATTTGAAATAAAGATCGTTTGAAAATAAAATATTGTATTTCATTCGGAATATAAGTATTCTTCATGTGACTTGCATGGATTTGATTCGCATCGTTGCGCTCGGCGTTCAAATTTCCATGCCCGTAACCTAAGTATTACTTATACTCCTAATAAAATAAATATCTATTGTCAAACTCATAGTTTCATTTTTACGACATTTAACTTAAGTTTATTCTGCTCCAAACTCTTTGAAGTATGCTTCAAAATTACATTTATTTTATCTACAGTCCTACCAGGGTCAGTGTCGCTGCAAGCAATAAAAGTAGGCTAAAAGTTCAATAAAATCACAATCTATAAATAGCTCAATGTCCTTAAAATACCACCAGGCCTTATCCGCTGCCAACAATCCCGTAGATAGTCAACAAACCAGTAATGCACACCACCAACAATTCCATATTTTTGTAACTTATACAGCAATAGTTTCTATCAATAGTCTTGTTTCAGGACCAAAATCACACCTACCACATATTTATTATTATCCAGATAATTTTTTATTAAATATTTAGTTAAGTGTATTGCAAATTCACAAGAATGCTTCCGACAGAACCTAGACTGATTGTTTAGCAGAAAAGTGTTATTTGTAACATGCTCTAGCAATTGGTCATAAACAACCTTTTCTAAAACTTTTTCTTGCGTGTTAGCGTATTGACTGGCCTGAATGATATTGACTTTTTGAATAGGGACAGCTACACTAGTCTTTAGTGTCTTGGGATTTCTTCCAATATTAAGTGACGTATTCACTTAATTCAAAATAACATGACCTATTCTTCTTTTAGCATTTCACAGTTTAGAATTTTAAAGATAGAAAACTTGTTGGTGATATAATACTGAATACTGTACAATATAGGCCTGACATTGACTATAACTTCAATTGATACATAGGTTGATACCTAATGATTATCTCGCTTATTATGATTTAAAAAATTACTGCATTGTGAGACTTGCAACAACCTCTATTGTACTATTATAAAATATTTGTGTGTCCCGCTTAAGGACTGACCACCCTTCTAAAAATTTTATTTTTCAATTGATTCAATTCATTTTTTTTCTGTCTTATAGCTACTCGAATTTGGCACTTATTAGGCTCATATCTTTATTTCTGCGGCTGCACTCGTGTACAGGGTGTCCACATTTATAGGCTCAAATTTCAATAAGTACTATTAGGGATTTTTTTAGAAAAAATCTGATATGAGATTCTTGTTTAGAATGATCTAAAACCCAAATGTACTAATTTTTATTTGGATACAATACAGGGTGATGACAACAAATTTTCACAATTTAATGAATCAAACCACAAAAATGTTATATTTTGAGACAAGCTTACTTCAAGTTTTGGTTAAGGATGTTCTAAAACTATGTTGTATTAAGTTTTGTTGTTCTCAAGGCCTCAAAATATGATATTTTTTCGGTTTGATCCATCAAATTGTGAAAATTTGTTGTCATCTCCCTGTATCGTATCCAAATAAAAATTAGTACATTTGGGTTTTAGACCATTCTAAACAAGAATCTGCTATCAGATTTTTTTTTAAAAAATCCCTAATAGTACTTAATGAAATTTGAGCCTATAAATATGGACCTAATAAGTGCCAAATTCGAGTAGCTATAGGAAAAAAATAAAATAATTAAATTGGTTAAAAAATGAAAATTTTAGAAGGGTGGTCAGTCCTTAAGCGGGACACACTGTATAAGTACTTATACTTAATTTTTAATTTTAGCGCCCTGAACAAATCCAGACTAAAGACTTGTATGTTCTTCCATTATTTACTGTGGTTGGTGATGCTTTCCAAGCTGGCCCCTTTTATTTTAGACAAGTTCAACTTTTTCATCCTCGTTATTGAAGAACTTGAAATTCCTGAGGTAATTTAGTTATTATTTTTACAAAATTTCACTCATTTCCCCTTTATACATTTTTTGTTTGTTTTGGTCACAGGCTTGAAATTTTGTTACAAAATTGGTAAAATAAGGTAAAATAGGACTGATATTGCTCAGATTTGCTTTATGTTTTTTTTTTTTTTTTCATTGTAAAATTGAAAATATGTTTTTACTGTTCGATTCAATTAATACATTCATTCAAAAGTGAAATGATAGAGAAAACATTTTGTCTTAAGTATAATAAAATTTGATTCGATTAAAATTAACACTTGGATAGATAGGTTCACACAGTTCACTTATTATACCAAATAAGCACTTTATCCTTGTCTTGATAAATGCTTAAAACAAAATGATCCAAAGAAATTGTTTTTGAAAGACAATATTTTTGGATTACCTACTTATGTATTGCATATAATAATTATGTAGCGTATTTTATTAAATAATAAACATACATTTCTATTTTGCAGCCATATGCTTGGGAATGGATATGGATGAGCAGTATAACAGTTTCAATATTTGCTATGGATGCCTGCAAGAAAAACAATATTGCAAGTCTGCAATACTATATGATTGGCATTGTGCTATCAGGGTATGTTCCGCTGATATGGAGTGCAGCCCTCTGGTTTCCTGATGTCTGGGCATACCTGTTTGCCGATGATGCACCGTGGACTATTATATACTGGAATGTAAGTTAATTGTGTCTTACTGATCAACAATCATTTTAATTATAACTTGTTTGCAGAACTATCCTGCTGGAATCCTATGGTATTTCTTTATAATACTTCCCCTCCAGGTACATGGTTTCTCCATATATTTCAGTTTCCAATTGCTGAATGCTTGGAAGGCCAGAGGCACTCATATGGCTGAGTAAACGGCCAAGAATCCAAGAACTGAGATGTGTCTGCTCTCTTTGAGATTTCCTAATTTATTTTCTTATTGTTTGTACTTAGAATTATTGTTTTTGTTTTTTTTTTGAGCAACCTATTCAGTTACCTCTAAGGTAACTAATTCCTCAAAGGTGCCATTCAGTTTTGTTACTTTTCATATATTTTATCTGTTTCCTTTAAGAATAGATTAGAAGTACTATTTTATTCTAAGCTGCCAGTATAATATTTGATATACATATATTTTGATTAATATTGGCTGTACTTCAAATTTTTATCTAGTTTTACAATCAGATGTGATATTGGTATTAAAAAAACACTGGCAAATTAGAATTATTGTTTGCAATGAAGCCATTGAACCAACTTTGGTATAATTGTCATTTGTTCAATTTATTTACAAAAAACTTTGTGTTTGTATAATAATGACTTGATACAAAGTTGAATCGAATGAGTGTATGTTATGAAAATAAAATGAAATATCTTTGCTACATAAAACTTCTTACCACCTGCCAATGTATATAACTCATTGTATGTATATAACAATTAAAAAAATAAGTCTTTGGTTTACCACAAATTTCATGAAACTTTGATTGGTGCAAACCTCAGAGTAACACTATATAAATAGAAAGGGCAAGTCATTCATAAAATCGTTTGGTTTCTGCGGCCAACAATCCTAAACGACAATAGTGGATTAATGAATGAACTACATGGAGTGGGGATAAGATTGCGGACAATGCGGGCCAATTACAAACAAAACCCGTTTGACATTTCTTACTATAAATACTAGAGCGCATTCGCGATTATGGTCGGGCTTGCTCCGGCAATATTTGCATTCTTCTTTATCTGGTTATCTTAACAAAGACAAAACGATTCAGGTGGGAGTTCCTAGACGAATACAACCAGCTTTCGAGTTTATGGGCAGTGTTGCCATTGTCAGCTACCACAAATTCTTATTCAAATTTTATTGTGATAATAGATTATTATTTTATATAATAATTATTCCTATTCAATTTTGGAAAGCACCACGATATTTTATGTTATAATTGTATATACATATACCATATACCTATCTAGGTTTTTATATTTACAATATATTTTTTCCAATTTCCCTGCAAATAAGGACAAATTATAAATATGGCACATCTGCACCAAGTGTCCGCAAGTGATCTTAGAATGGGAGTCAATGTTTGGGGCATATTTTAATCATAATAAACCTATCTATTTCATGTGTTAATCTGAGGTGCAAACCGTATTTTGATATCTTCAATTGTTAGGGGGCATTTCTCAATTTTGAGCATTACTGTGGAACCTTCATGACTTTTTTATTTGTAAAAATAATTGATTTTTGAATAAACTTTCTAGAGGTAGCTTTTCAAGCGGAATTTGATTCCGATTTCGAGATATAATATCTCGAAATCGGAATCAAATCGGAGGAGATTTATTACACACTACACAGGATAGCCTATCCTCATAAACCCTGTGTAGTTCAAATCTCAAGACCCCTGGTCCCCGACCATGAAAAAGTCCAGTGATAACGTAGGCAGCATGTCATTTTTCACAAATTGGTGACTCCGACGAGAAAATGCCCAGAGTTAGAAGACGCAGGGATACAGTCGAAGATCGAACAGACCATTTGCCAGTCCTGTTAGAATTCCGGCGATCAACATAAAACTACCTCAGTTTTAGAGCCATGATTCGGTGTTATGGTTTGTTCAACTTGAAACAGTTTTCTCAAACTATGGTATCACCGACTCGAAGATCAATATTATCACCTCAATAATCACATTATTTCTGCTTTGCCTCCTGAAACTGGTAGCTATCTGAAAGATATTTTGGTAGATACCTTCTCAAACTTATATGAAGATTTACAGAATGAAATCCTCAAGAGAACGACTCTATCTGACTCGGAGCGGATGCGACTTATGCATTCGAAATTTGAGGGATAACAAGCTTCAAGAATGCTAACTTTTAAGGGGGTGTAACCCAAATATGAAAGTTTTAGTGCAAAAAAATCTAAGAACAAATATTTAAACTGCATCTTGCTACGATGAACCTTTTTCGACTTAGGGCGGTTTAAAGTTACAAACGCCTAAGCTGTGACGTCACACCAGCTTCTGAGGCACGGTATTAGCATTTGTGAATTTTCCAAAACAAAAGTCAACCTCTCTAAGTCCAGGGCACAGTTCACCAACGACGACTGAAAGAACAGGAGGCTGCGGTTTTCAGGAGAGATGTTATAGACTGGGAGCTCATAACACAAAAAAGTTAGTCATTTGTAACAGGTATGGCGACCCCCTAGGGATCGAATTACGTCATGAGGAAGATGATAACTTTCTTGCCGTTAGGCCCTTATCGTATGGCGATTAATCAAACTTGTCAGATAAATTGCGGATTTCAAACGATTTGTAACACAAAGATTCTTGTGTTTTTCGATAGTTTATGAAAATTGAACTAGTCGAAAGCAAAATGCCATACTTCTCTGGTAGGGCTTAAAGCCCGCCATACCAGTCGGCGCGCGTTAGTATTTAATATTTTTTTAAATTATTTGTAACAAGCTATTTTTTTTAACTGATCATCTTTGAGGAGTCATTCACGAAAATCACCATGCCATACCGTTCCGATGGGTCCAAGTAGCCGCCATACCGCCACAAAGACGTAGATTTCTTTAATAATGCTAAACGATTTGTAACACCCTATAAATTTGTTTACTACAGTTTACTAGTTATTTGTGTGATTAGTAAGAAAAATCAGACTACGCCATACCCGTGGTATGGGTCAAATACGTACAATATGATCAAAAAGATGTAAGATTATATGAGAGGTTTTCATTATTTGTAACAGTCAGGCACGAATTTTTTCTGAAAGTTCAAGGTACTTAAAATCAAAATATCATGTTTCAAACATATATTATTATGATTGTGGCAATTTGGCAATCTTCTTGTATAACAGTGTTTTATAATATTCTATACGGCTCCCGCAGCTCGAAATTTCTTTCCTTGGTTGTAGCCGTCCCGCCCGACTCATAGGCAGGTAACAACACACTGGAGGAATAAGTTTCATAAGACTTGTAAACTGTAGCAAGTTTCATGAAACTTTGTTTCATATCAACGCACACAGTATAAAAAATATTACCATTACAGTATCAATGTGCTGTAATGGGAACTTCGACGACCTGTACCAGTTGTAGCTCAAAACTTTTCCAGAAAACCATCAGTCCTTCAAGTATGGCAGCACTTTCAGACTTGACGAAGGGTATGGCATAATTTTTCCGAAATATATTCATCTGTAAACTTTCAAAAAATTGACAAGCCATACTGTTACAATTCTTTTCGTTATTATTTTTTGGCCTCATCTTAGCGCAAATGTGACACGTCTTCAGCCCCATGGTATTAGTATGGGATAATTATTTCCAGGAAAAATCGTATAGAAACAAACTGAATATACAATGATGCCATACTGTAATAAATAATTCTAGATCTTGTAGGTACCAGTTGTAGCTGGAAGACGTTTCAGAAAACTAGTTTTTCAAGTATGGCACCACTTTCAGACTACACGAGAAGTATGGCATAATTTTTCCGAAGCATATTACCTTGTAATCTTTTGAAAAATTGAAATGCCATACTGTTACAATTCGTTTCGTTATTATGTTTTTGATCTTATTTTAGCGCACGCGTGACAGTCTTCAGCCCCATGGTATCAGTATGGGATTATTGTTTTCAGGTAGAATCGTATAGAAACAAACTGAATACAATGATGCCATACTGTTACAAATAATTCTAGACCTTGTACCAGTTGTAGCTGGAAGACGTTTCAGAAAACTAGTTTTCAAGTATGGCACCACTTTTGCACTTGATTATAAGTATGGCAAATATATGAATGGTCACATTGTATCATTACCTTTCGAAAAAACAAATGCCATACTACTGTTACAAATCGTTTAGCATTATCAAAGAAATCTACGTCTTTGAGGCGGTATGGCGGCTACTTGGAACCATCGGAACGGTATGGCATGGTGATTTTCGTGAATGACTCCTCAAAGATGATCAGTTAAAAAAAAAATATAGCTTGTTACAAATAATCTAAAAAGATAATAAAAACAAACGCGCGCCGACTGGTATGGTAGGCTTTAAGCCCCACCGGAAAAGTATGGCATTTTGCTTTCGACTAGTTCAATTTTCATAAACTATCGAAAAATACAAGAATCTTTGTGTTACAAATCGTTTGAAATTTGCAATTTATCTGACAAGTTTGATTAATCGCCATACGATAAGAGGGCCTAACGGCAAGAAAGTTATCATCTTTTTCGTCTTCCTCATGACGTAATTCGACCCCTAGGGGGTCGCCATACCTGTTACAAATGACTAACTTTTTTGTGTTATGAGCTCTCGGTCTATTAGATTTTTTTTCTTGATTTAAGTACCGTAAAACTTTGTGACAGATTTTGAGGTTTTTTGCAATTCTCAAACAGTTCTTTGCCACATAAAATTCTGAAAAAAAATACACTATGTATATCCGTCCTTTCGCTACAAAATGGCAATAATAGGAAATTGAAAAAATATTGATAATTCAGCTTTTTTTTATTTGAAAGTGTCCCAATTTTACCCCGTGATGCGGGGTAACTTTGTGAAAGTTCGTTTTTATAATGCAAACATAATGTAACCCCGTCATTTTTAATCTCAAACGATAGGAAATGTCAAAGAAATATTTGCTTGATAATTTTCTGATATTAAAAACACAGTTATATACTGATTTAGACATTTTAAATTTTTATTGTATATCATACGATATAGTAAAGCACCCTCATATTCAGCCAGAAATTGGGACGTGAACTTCACCAATAGGAAGTCGTCCACATAAGTTGTATTCCTTTCAAGAGCTTGAAACACTCGAGCTACTCGCTTCGGTGCTTAGTCGCCCCCGATTTGCAGGGACTAGATGCGTGGTGCAACAAGCACTTTTCGAAAGGAATAAGCGCGTGAAGCCCCGGAGCTCCTCCTAGGTGTGAAAGGAATACAACTATTAGGAGACATGTCGATCCTTTTAGCGTTGTTTTAGCTTGAGCATAAGTTTCTTCCATACTGGGACGAGTTCAGGAATGACACACCCAGTGTGAGTGTGACACCGGTGCGACGCCCTAGCTGTTCAAAAATGCTAGACGGTGCTATGGGCCCAATGGCCAATTGTCAATCCAGGCACACCCATAAAATCACACTCGCACCCTGTGCGTTGTTTCTGAACTCGGCCCTAATTATATGTCACAAAGTTGCCCCGGTAGGTTCCTCTGTTTTGTTTATTGTTAAAAAAAAATGTCTCAAATTAATAAATCGTAAGCAATTTCACGTAGATATCCCGACAAGTACCCAAGCAATTGGAAAGTCTTACGAATTTTTCTTAGGAATCTTCAGATTCTGATGTACATACAGTAGAAAGTTTTGGGGGTTTTGAAAAAGTTGCAAAAACGAGATACTCCCTTCGAATCAGGATGCTAGTTACCAAGGGAGCGTACCAGCTTGCCGAGCGGTCTTTGTAGCGGGTGAGGTATGTGCTTCCATCTGCCGGTAGAAGAATTTAGCTTCGCACGCGGAATTTAAAAAGTACTGGCTTATTTGATTTGAATTTCCCAATGTCACAAAGCTTCCCCCTTGTCACAAAGTATCCCCGTTTTACGGTAGCGTAAGTTGTTTTTTTGGGACACACCCCTTTTAACACAAATTTCCTACCCTAGAGCAAACCTTTCTAGGAAAAGTTTCTGCATCATCAATATTAAGATAGGGTTACTTGCTCAAGGATAGTTCAGACTCAGACATCAGATTACTCGCAAAAATGGCTGACAATATTTTTGAATCTTTTGATCAGCAATAATCCATGTCTGCAAATGGAATTAATAAATCATCGGGATTCAATGAGACATTTGGTAAACTATCAAACGAAGTAGCTAAGTTGAAGAAACTTGCTGAATCATCCACAACACAACCCAAAAGATCAGGGAAGACCAAGGATGATACACACCTACAGGATTGCTTATCGGCCTCGTTTTTGGTAATAGCCGCCACATTGGTGTGTCACCATTTCCGACGTCATAACTAAGTCGTGTTTAAACAGCCTACGTCAAGGCGAGAAATAACATGCTGTTACGTCACAACTGGTGATTTGGCCTGGGAGGGAAGGGGGAGATTCGTTCCAAACGGGCCCTATTAGGATAGGCTATTCTGTAGTGGTAGTGTTTATCATCCTTTAGGGCAAACAGCCATGCAGATGGCAGGAAAACGAGCGAAGCAGCAAGCATTAAGCAATAGTTGTATTCCTTTCAAGAGTTTAGAAAACTAGAGCTACTCGCTCCGGTGCTATTCGACCCCGATTTGAAAGGAACAGATTCGCTGGCTTTCATGCATTAATGGTTTGAGTTCGGGCTTGAGCAATCCGTGCATCAAACACTTTTCGAAAGGAATAAGCGCGGAGCTATTTTGGAGCTCCTCATAGGTGTGAAAGGAATAGAAAAAAACAAAAATACAACTAATAGGGGCGACTTGTCATGCTCCAAAAGAACGTAGTCGCCTGATTTTCGTCAAAGACTCCATTAACAATATTTCGTTTTTGGCCGATACTGCAAGTGAAGTGTTTTACCACTAAAAACGCATGATTTCATAAATGAAAACATAGCTGTTTCTCGCGTTCACTTTTTTGAAACTGGTTCAAAACAGGTTTGAAATAGTATATTCTTGCGATGAACACATGACGTCACATCAAAATTGTTTCAAACCGTTTCAAATTACAATCCAATTCCAGTTTTCAAACCATTTTGTCGCGCCGAAAAATTATGACGTCATGTGACACTGTTTTAAACCAGTTTTGAAAAACGTTTTAAAACATTTGAGACGCGAGAAAACACCTCATGTTTTCGTTTATTTCTGCTGCAAATGGATCTAAAATTAGTTGACAAAATTCTCACCCATACTGGTACCATCTAATTGTACATATACACACTACTACAGGATTGTTCATCGGCCTCGATTTTTGGAATCAAGGTCATATGGTGTTGCACCGTTGCGATGTCATCAACGGTGTCGCTAGCTGTTTGCGCCAGCGGGCGCTGTTTATAAAATACATTTATGATGAAAAATATTATTTAATTGGGAGTGAATCCTACGCCTACCGGTAGGTCCTTTGTTATTCAACGATCGTACGCCTACCAATAGGTCCTTTTTCATCCACCGATTGTGCGCCTACTGGTAGGGTAGGTCCTTTTTCGTCAATTGATCAAGCGCCTACTGGAAGGTGTTTTATTACTTTAGAATCCATATATCCTACCAGTCAGCTCTTGCTAATGCTAAATGCGTTAATAAAATTTTGTTTGTTAGTAGTAGTATAGTCATGAAGAAATTCGTCCACATAAGCCTTTATTAGTACCTACCTTAACATTTTTCCAATTTGGGCTTAAAACTTGTTGATGTTTGGAATCTGCTTCATTCGCTAAACGGCATCCTTTTAAAAATTCTTCTGCACACACCTTGATTTGTTTTTGAGTCTTCGATTGCTCACTACTCTCGCTAAACCTCAAAGAGAGGATCCTTGGGAGCGCAAATCCACCAAAAAGTGAAAAAACTTTTTCAAATATACCTACATAACAAAAAAAGTTTTGCACCATCCCATTTTATATATTCAGCGATATCTAAATTGAAAAATTAACAGTGAAAAAATAGTGAACAATTTCAGATTCTTGAACCTTTTTCAGTAAATAAACTGGACACATTCCATAGTTGAAGATAACAATATTTTTATTTATCGATGAGTATTCTGTAGTTACATTACAGGGCGGTGCAAAACTTTTTTTGTTGTGTGTATATCACCTTCTTGTTCAAAATATTTTTGAGTCTCCGATTGCTCGCTCTGCTGGCCGAATCTCAAAGAGAATATCCCCGTAACGTAAATCCACCAAAAACGTGAAAAAACTTCCATCAAAAACGCGAAAAACCTTTATTAAATAACCTTGAAATTTTAAACATTTTTGAGTCTCTGATTGCTCGCTCCGCTCGCCAAACTTCAAAGAGAAGATCCTCGGAAGCATAAATCCACCAAAAACGTGGAAAACCTTTTTCAAATATGTCACCTTCTTGTAAATGCAGGTATAGTTAGGTTAGATAGGTAAATAGAAAGTAGGTAGGGTAGGCGACGGATTCTTGAATTAATATGAACCTACCGGTAGGCTCAGGATTTTTTTTACAAAGAGTACCTACCGATAGGCGTTATATCATGTGGCAATTGGGGACCTACCATAATGTTTTAGCGTTATACCGTTATACATAAACGGTAGGCACACAATCAATGAAACAAACGGCACCTACCGGTAGGCGCAGAGTTCACTCCCTATTTAATTTTGATAAACATAATAGACAAAGAGTAAGATGCAAACGAGATCTAGAAAAGGGTTTTTTAGAATGGTAATTAATGTACTAAAGCAAGTATGCATCAAGGAAAAGCCAGCGGAGTAATAGCCTGCGATGCAAACACACCCTATAAGTCAAGGCGAAAAACTTCACGCTGTTGCGTCATCACTGGTACTTTAGCATAGTTGGGGGTTTGAGATTTGATCTACACAGGTCTTATGAGGATAGGCTATCCTGTGTAGTGTATTTGCACCACATACTGCTCGGTTTTATTACAATAATTACCATTCTAAAACTACCCTTTTTTAGATCTCGTTTGCGTATTATGTATGTTATTCAAAATTAAATATTTTTCATCGTGAATTCATATTCTAATCTACGACGGCTAGCGCAAACCGCTGACGACTCTGTTGGTGACGTCGGTAACGGTGCAACACCATATGAACTTGAATCCAAAAATCGACGAGCATCGATGAGCAATTCTGTAGTAGTAATAGTGTGTCATATCCTTGTGTAAAACCTCTATTCCGTTGAGTGAAATGAGAAGGGCGAACAATTCGGAAGTACAGTTCAAATTAAGCCTAGTACTCATAACTGCGAAATTCGCATTTTTTTGACATTACATCGACAATTTGACGTTTGATACACGCATAAAACGTCAAATTGTCAACGCAATGTCAAAAAAATGCGAATTTCGCAGATATGAGTACAAGGCTTTAGTCGTTCGAGGATCACCACATTCCGAATTTTCAGTACATTTCAGTGTTCGCGGTATGACTAGAAAAGGCTGAGTTCGGTTTTACACTCGGTAAACTCCGAGCGCGCTCGAAACGATTAGATCCTGTTCGTTTTAGCTCTCATTGTGTTCTCTTTTGCGTTCGGCTTATGGACGGGTATGACGTCACGATATTCATGCTCATACCGTTCTGCTTCGTGTAGTGCGAAGCCGAACTAAGCCAAAATAAAATCCTGCCCAGGCACTCCGTGTCCGGTAGAATTCTACATATCGACAGGATTCTATAGACTCGGCACACTGTGCGGCATGCGATATGTTTTGATATGTCACTCTAAATGGGACGGAGCCCCACCCTTGGACTGGTTGATGTTCAAGTGCTCTACGGCCATTCTGTAAATTTAGTTCCCGACTGGTTCGGCGGAATGGTTCTGGGATTCGGAACCAGGTTCCGAACTTAGGTTCGGAATGTCCTAGACCTGGAACATAGCTTTTTGACACGTGACATGACAGTCATCTTTTCAGATAATTTGTTTTTGCGCATTCGCGCATTCTTCCATCCTCTCCTTTTGTTTGTTCAACAAAAATAATAGAAAATTAAATTTTGATGGAGATCATAGGATCATCAGACACAGACAGTCGTAATCGGAATGTCTAATTTCCCGGCAGGCACCCATTTTTTACCAATAAAAGTATTTACCTAGTTATTAAAAATTTAGTCAACAACGAATGTGATATATCTATAGTAGTTAAAATGAAACCAAATGACCAATAATTCTAAATTATATTGAAATGGCGCCAATGATTTACACTTTATATGGTTTTGCGATATTTTTCTTCGCGTTTTGGTGTGCTTTGTGGTTACTACATCTTATAGCGATATTATATGGGTAAGTAGACAATCCGTTCTCTAAATTAGGTACCTTTGCAAGCCTACTAACTAACCTCAAATGCCTTAACAAATTGAAGGGCCCCTCTGAAAATATTTTCTAATTTTTTTAGAAAATACAAACTGCACAAAAAAATTCCAGAAACCTTAGCAGATGAACCACTCCCTGGAGTATCTATTTTAAAACCTCTTATGGGAGTTGATCCACATTTGCTCTCCAACCTGGAAACATTTTTTACGATGAGATACCCCATTGTAAGTACTACCCATTTATTTTAGGTATATTTGATCATTTTTAATTTAATCATTCAAATTTCTTGTCCTATTACATTAACTGAGACATTAACTATATTATTATACCTAATTTGTTCAATTTCTAAGGGTTCTAGAACAGGCATACCTGTACAGTCTTGCCTGTCAAAATTCTATAATGTTAGGTCTAATCAAGGCTTCAATTAAATTTGGCTTGATGACACTTTAAGGTCAATAAGAAGTCAGTTACATTACAAAAGGTCACAAGATTTCAACAAAAAAAACATTCGCTCCTTACCTACATGACATGTGATTAGAAAGAGCGCTTTTAATAATGTTTGCTTTATTAACTATTCTTTCACAATAGTTACAGATCCATTTTTTATAAAACATGCAAAGCAAAATTTTTTTTGAAAAAGATTAGGCAGATCGGGTGTAAAACGCTTTAGTGCAACAAAAATTAACAAATTTTCTATACAAATTAGTTGATATATCCTTTATACAGTTGGTTTTGTATCAATTTAAGTGCGGATATTGGCGTTTTTTGCCGTAGTAAGCAAATATTCACATTCACAATTACTTACACATAACCAGTAGATATTAAACCAGTAGATATTATACCAAGTAGATATTGAACGAACTGTAACTCAAACTAACCAAAAGTATGCAAACTAACCCGGCCACGTAATGCGTGCGAGTCCTTATATGTTGATATTGAATTTAAAGGTAATTTTTGGGCTCTCGGGAACGGGCTATAGGGCGTTTTCTGATCAAGTTCATTTTGGTACACATATATAGGACGTAAAAAAAAAAAAATTCAAAAAAAATTTGACCTTGACTGTGACCTTGACTGTGACCTTGACCATTAAATTCACGTAAATGGCATTTTAACGTGCTGAAAAGTTGTATAGTGTTGAAAGGCATCTCAAGTAACCTATATACCGAGTTTTAGCCTTCAAGGTCATGCACATTCAAAGATACGGCAACTCCGCATTCTCAGTTTGGGCTCTCGGGAACAGGGTAGAAGGCGTAGTCCGATTGAGTTCATTTTTGGTATACATATTTAGGCCGTAAAAGGTAACAGTTCAGTAAAGGTCCTTCAAAAAAAATATCATGCTTCTTCATTATAGATAGTTTAGTTTGATCCCAAAATATTGTTTTATGATGGAAAATGTTGGCGCAAATAACTATAAATTGGATTTTATAAATATTGAATGAATCCTCTTCTCGACCTTTGACACAGATCAATATATAATATCTATTCTTATCAGCTTAATATCACAATCGCTCTGTTTAGCAGATAAAAATTTAATAAACGTAAAAAGCATCATGTGGTAGATATTCGAATGAAGAGAAGAGCTAAGTGTTCAAACCATTTTTTGAAAAAAACATTATTGAGTAATGATAAAGCGTATAATATCTACTGAACTTTTGAAATTGGTAACAATAACTGTGTTATATCGAAACTGATCAAAAATATGCAAACTAACCCGAACTTACCCATCTTTGTACTGCGTGCTAGTCCCCGTAAACCTATCTAATCGAGAATTACAAAATAATGCAAAACAACCCAAATTAACCCATTCTTGAAATGCATACTAGTATCCTTGAACATTTTTATTTTATCTAGCTTGTCGCGCTTGGTTGTCGTTGTCAGGGTTGGACGAACTTTTGGAAGCGGGTCGGGAAATTTTAGTCTAGCGGCCCATACATTGATGGATTTATGGGGCACATCCCCATACTTAGATGTGATCTAATAATATAATAACGACAGTGAAAAAACAATGGGTGGTATGAATAAAAACGAAGTGTCTGCTACTACTACAAGTAGGAGTATATTCTCCGTATTTACTTTAAAATGAAGTAGATACCTACTTACATTTCGAAACTACCGGAAATTAGTAAATCCTTCGTTGTGAAGTAAATACTTCGTAGAATATACTACCACTTGTAATAGTAGCAGGTACTTCGTTTTTATTCATACCACCCAATAAAATGCTGAATGAAAAGTAATGAAAACGCAGAATGGAAAATTTAAAAATAACTCTTATCTTGTTTTTATTATTTCAAAGATGATTTCAAACAATCAAAATGATATTTTTTTCATTAATGGGGGGCTTAAGTTGAACATTTCCATAAGAATCTTCTCAAAAGTCAACAATCCTAAGATTTTGTTATGTAAGAGTATCATCAACGCATCCAAATTTTCCATTGTAAGTCGATCGATTCCTTAATCGATTTTTTATGCCTTCAAGTGTTGAAATAGCTATTTATACAATAAGTTACGAAATGAGCGTCTTTCAGGCACGCGACGTGAAAATTGTCCAACGAGGCAAAGCCGAGTTGGACAACACGTCGAGTGACTAATAGACATCGTTTCGTAACGTATTGTATACAAGATTTTTTCTACTGGCATTTTATAATAAAAAAACACAATTTTATTTTATGAATTAAGCCGATTACGCCCAAAATCTTTGTTAATACCTGTTTTTGCTTGACACCTGAGACCTCGCCTGACACTTTTCATGCGATTTTTTTTCCAAGATTCGATATCAATAATTAGAATCCTAGAAAGTAGGTAACAACACAAAGTTTTGTTTTGAGTAACCCAAACGTTCAATTCAATAATTACATTATTAATATTCATAATAAATACAAAACAAAATTCAAATCTGTGTTTAGTGTGTTTTTTGTTTCTGAACAATGAATGACACTTTTAGGCACTAGTGCTTAAAAATCACTTTTACGCACTTAAAAGTCACTTTTACGCATTCAAAAGTCACTTTTACGCACTGAGTGCTTAAAAGTAACTTTTACGCATTCAGTGCTTAAAAGAATATCGTATCAAAATGACAATCGAAAAGTTGCTATTATGAAACGTCAGTAGAAAAAGCATTTTTTCTACCACCGTGCGTGAAGTATTCACTTTACGAACTATTCAGAAGATGTAAAATTCCACTTCACGCACTAGTGTGTAAAGTAATTCACTTCACACACAAGTGCGTAAAATAATGTCAATGACAGATTTTGACAACTGTCAATTTATTATTTTTCTGGTAAATTACTTCACGCACAAGTGCGTGAAGTATTTGTCTAAATCTATTTTTTAAACAAATTTGAGTGGTAGTAGAAAATTTTTTGTATGCAATACGTGCGTAAAGCTCATGTGATTGTCACACTCGCCTTCGGCTCGTGCATCAAAATTCACATTCGTGAAAAAAGGTTCACTTTACAGACTTGTTGCATAAATAACTATTTCGCAACCTACGTGTGAACACGCTAAAATAAGGACATACTGGTAAAGGCCTTGAAGATGAGTGCTAGCACGGATGTATAATCTGTAGTTATACGAAACATTAAAACAGCAAACCAAACATTGTTTGCAAAGTGAATGTGATTATAGTTATTTTCCTAACAAGTGCGCAAAGTGATACTTTCCCGCACGAAAAAGCAGTTAGACGAACGACGCGATGCGGAGTTCGGATAAGCTTTGAGTGCGGGAAAGACAGGACTGTTAAAATATTAGAAAAATCAATCAAATCAAAATCTTCAAAAATCGTTTAAAATCTATTGGAATTCCTCAGAATTTCTTTTGAATTAAATCCCCAAATATCTTTTTACATCTTCTGGAATTTCTAGAATCAGCAAGAATATTTTCATGAGAGTCTCTTAAATTTTACAAATTTCTAGCAGTACAGGCTATTCCAATTTGGACACCTTTGATAGGAAACATCATGTTAACTAAGCGTTAGTTTCAACTAAAACCCTTCATTTTGAATATTAGTTTATTCAGAAACCATCAAAACAATGAAAAATCAAGTATAACTATGGTAATTATGCGTAACAAAAATGAGTGCGCAAAGAGTTTCCGTGCGCAAAGTTTAACTTTGCGCACGCAAATGAGTGTGCAAAGTGATTACTTTGCGCACGCAAGTAGAAAAACACTTTTTTAGAAAGTTCTAATTCATTCCCTGTATGCAACCCTATGTTATTTACATTATCTTCATCTCCATCATTATTGGATCCAGAAAGGTCATACAACTCCGTCCTTTTCGAGTCAGGCCATTTTCTTCCAAAATCTTTTAATTCCTCCCGTAAAACAGCCGCGGCATCTCCTTTTATTTATGAGAATGAATTGCGGGTAATGAGTCTTAAATTATTACATTACTGTCATTTGCTTCCAGTCCTGTATTTGTCCAATTGTCAAACATTCTTAGCACTTCATACTTCTTTCATGTTGCGTTTTTCTTTTTTCAATGCGCCACAAGTTGAATTGACCATTCTTATGTGCTTTCATAATATTGAGGCCGTCCGTTTGATCTCAGACTTTGGTTTGAAGGTATCTTGATAATCCTGTTGTTCTAAAGATCGGCCCACACTCCGATCGGCCCACCGGGAATTTCCCGGTATCCCGGTGGGTTCATCCAACCCTGGTCGTTGTTAATCAGTACACTGTATCCAGTTTTAGATAAGTAATTAATATTCAATATCATGATGTTTCCTATTAAAAGGGTCCAAATTGGCCCACCCTGTACATAATTTCAGCACGATAAATAGATATTTACGTGAATTTCACTGGTCAAGGTCACGGTCAAGTTCACGGCCAACGACCAAAGTCAATTTTTTTTTGGGGAAATTTCTTTCAGCGGCCTTTATAATTATGTATGTATACCAAAAATGAACTCGATTGGACTACGCCTTCTAGCCCATTCCCGAGAGCCCAAACTGAGAATGCGGGGTTGCCGTATCTCTGAATATGTATGACCTTGAAGGCTAAAACTCGGCGTGTGGGTTATTTATGATGCTCTTCGGCGCTATACATAATTTCAGCACGATAAATTGATATTTATGTGAATTTCACTGGTCAAGGTCACGGTCAAGATCGCGGCTAAGGTCAATTTTTTCTGGGAAAAATTTCTTTCAGCGGCCTTTATATGTATACCAAAAATGAAATCAATCGGAGTATGCGTTCTACCCTGTTCCCGAGAGCCTTATCATACCAA